TCTCTTCTCGCTTCCCTCTCCTCTCTTCTCTTTTCCTTTTCCTCTCCCCCACCTTCCCTGTGTCCCTCCCTCCCTCCTTGTCTCTTCACAATTATCATGGGGTCAGGTAGGATAGGATGGGGTAAGGCAACCCGACTGCTCCATTCTGCCGTACTATGCCCCCTATCCTGCCCTTACCCCCCAACCCCACCACCCTACCCTTCGGTTGCCCTGCTACCCAACCCCACCCCTTACCCTGCCATAAGTAGGGTGTCGGGCGGTAGGGCTGGTAGGGTAGGATAGTGGAGTGGGGAGTGGCAGGGCGGGTAGTACAACCACTCAAATGGAAACATACTTCCCTTACCCCAGACCTGAATTGACCCGACCCTGCCCCTTACCCCCTACCGTCCTAACCGTTGGTCCTAACCCGCTCTACTAGCAGGTCAGGGTAGGGTAGGCTAGGGTACATGCTGCGCTACCTGCATCGCTACCGTCACAAAGAGTTGGGCAACTAGTATCAGCATTGTCTTCTGTAAAGCATTCAATAGAACCTGGTTTCCAATTACAACACTAAGCCACTAAGCCGAACCAGCCTTGTTACCATGTTTCCTCAGGGCTAACAGTTGTTTCTTTGAGCTATCGGTAGTTTCTTCAGAACTTTCAGTTGCCTCTTCAGAACTCATGTAGGTCTCTCCAGAACTGACTGCAGTTTCAGAACTAAGGTAACTAAGGGTTGTTACTAAAGACCTGAGCGTTTTTGATTCGGGTAAGTTCAGGTAGGGTCTCGGTAGGGTAGGGCCGACCTTCTCCCACCCTCCCATCTCCCACCCCACCAGTCAGGGAGGGAGTGAGGAAGTGAGGGAGTGAGGGAGTAAGGGAGTGCGGGAGTGAGGCAGTGAGGGACTAAGGGAGTGAGGGACTGAGTGAGTGAGGGAGTGAAGAAGTGAGGGAGAGTGGGAGAGGGAGAGGGACACGTAGAAGGAGAGGGAGGGAGGGATTGAGGGAGTCAGGGAGTGACGCAGTGAGAGCATGAGAGAGTGAGGTAATAAGGACGCGAGTGAGGGAGTGAAGGAGACGGAGAGGGGGGAGCGCGAGAGTAAGAGTGAGTGACGGAGTGAGGGATTTCGCACTGCGCCGCAACATCGATAGAATCTCCGAAGTCCCTGTTACACTGCCAGCTGGGCTCCGGCCACCATTTCCACCGCCTGCACCCCCAGATCCACCGCCAGGTTCTCCCGAGGCTTCAGGAGGTTCCCATGATCTTGCCCGGCAGGGCGCACTCGAGCATTGTTATCATGCTGGCCAGCTGGTTGAGGAAGATCTCTCGTGCCGAAGACGAGGAAGAGGACGAAGAGGTAGAAGGCGAAGGTGGCCCTGCCGCAGTCACAGCCTGCTGCCATGGTGCCAGGGTGGCATTGTCGGCATCATCCCCGGTGGTGGGCCTCATAATCCAGCACATGGCCCCATCGGCATGTTCCAGTACGGAGGCGCTGCCAAGACCAAGGAATTTTTAAGCCAGAATGTCCTGGTACGCACCCCGGAACTCCGCCCTGACGCCTCGCTCCAAGGATCTGCTCGAGGTCGCCATCGGGCACCCGAGGAAGCGATGCCCCTGGATCAGCAGCCACAGTCGCAGCCATGGCCCAGACTACTTCAAAAGCAGAGCAGCAGCCCAGGAACTAGTAGCAACCAGCTCCGCTACCAATATGAATTGAACAGTACAACCCTAAGAAACAACCAGCAGGGAGGAGGGCACGCAAGCACATCGGACTTTTCGCGCAAAAGCTGAAGCAACGTTGCTGATTCGAGCCCCGGCCGGATGTCACAGGCTCGTTCAGGCTTGCCTGCATGCTTCTTCAAGAAGGAATGGATGCTCAGGCAATGCTGTATCTATGATTCTTCACACTTAACCCCCTCACCCAACCCCCCCCGCCCCACTTAACCTAACTTCCATCCCACGCTATCACATCAACAGAACGCAACAAAACTCGCTTAAAAACGCAGATTTTGCATGCTTAAACGCAGGAGGATGTCCTTGACCTCCCACCCAGCTCCCCATCCCATTACACCGACACGATGCAAAATCCTCCAACAACAAGCGCCGGTTCTCGAACACACAGAAAAAAGCAAAATATCGATGTGTGAGGCTGCGCAAGAAGCCTGGCAAAAACGACTGTTTTTTTCAGAGCATGCGCGACCAACCCCGAGCACGAAGCAAATTTCGCAGGCGCGAAAGTGTTGTAAACACGCTGCAATTCCCGTGTTTTTGTCCAACCAGGAGACGCCCTCTGCGTTTGCACTCGTAAGCAGTCTTTCCCATAGTTGTTGAACCCTTCCGGGCGGCGCAAGGCGCGCAGGCGTGCGGTGGCTGCAAACAACACTTAGACCGGGTACTCCGGCAAGTAGGAAAAACAAGTTATATCTGCAAGTACGACCGGTCAAAGGCTTGCATCATTTTCGAACTTCACTGCTGAACAATTCTCCGCTGCAGGGTTGGCTGCCACGTCGTCATGTCCGACCTCCGCAGGACCAGGAGCAGTGGCACGAGACGTTTACACCCATGCTTCGAAGAAGCGAACACAGCTTCAGGCATGATTGTTGTGACACATGACTGGAATCTGCCGAGTTCTTCAGCGTGCTCTGCCGGGCTGTAATTCCCATCTACCATGCCGCGGAATCCAATTGTAACATGCTTTTCAATGCGACCTGCGCTGAACTGTTCTGTGTTTGTAGCAAGCTTCGACTCTTGCTTGAGATTGCTTATCCAAAAGATCTTTGGCAAGGATACTGCCGCCAACATCGGAGTGTATCGGAGTGACCCTGCGAGACGAACCCTGCGTGCCGGCGACACATTCCATCTGAGAACGGGATGTGTCCGCGAAGATGCACCTCGCAAGACCCTGGATTGCTGCCGGGCGGCAATTCGTGAAACTCCGGCGTTGCCACGGGGTCTGCTCGGGCACTTCGATCGGGCTCCTCCTGCTTGGCTGAGGGTGACCTATTGAAGAACCACAGCCGTTTCACAGGCAGCCACTATGATGAGGCGAGCTTCTCGTCGAAGTTGGACCAAGACCTTCTCTACCCTTCAGCTTCTTAAACCGCAAATCTGTCCTGCACCAGAGGTCGGCTTTCGAGAGGCTCTGGGCCATCCGTGCTCCTGTTAGCTCAGGGACAAAGCAAATCTTCCGAAACCTTTCCTCCTCTTCGCAGCTGCTCTGCTGCTCTCTCACAACTCCATCGACGCTTTAGGCTCGAGCTGAAGCCTGGGTGCAGTACAGTCCTGGTCAAGGAAGGTCGCCAAGCACCTGTGGTAGTGGGCCCTGGCGTTCCTGCGATGGGTTAGCAATCACGTTGAATTCCAAACAAACCATGTCTCTGGTCCAACGAGAACCCTCACGCAGAACGAGAGAGATGACCAAAGAGCGCTCATCTCGTGTAAAGGACATGAGCGAAAGGCCAAGCATTTTGTAGCTCTTTGCAGACCCTTGTGTCCTGCCTTTTCGCATTGTCGCGAGCCGGAAAGGCGAAAGGTCTACGATCCCTTTGTGGTCCTCTGGTCTTTGCCCTCGATGCTGGCTGGAGCACGTCGTTTGTGGCCTCGGTTCCCGGCTAGATCAAGCGAGCTGACAAAAGCCAGGGGTCGTTCACTTCATCGGCATGTGACGTGTCGATTACAAGCAAAGTGCTGCTTTGTGCAGCTTTGACCACGTACCGAAGACGAGGTTCCAGAGTGTCCGTTTCACAGCATGCCCAATGCATCCAGGTATCTGGAGCCACGGCAACTTCAGGCATTTCCTGCATCTGGGAGTTGGAATCGCGACCTCAGGGCAGTCGGGCATCGGGTTGGTAAAGCCAGGCAAATTTGGCATCTCCGAACGAGAACGTGGCACCGTCCATGCCGGCTGTACATAAGGGAAAACTTGAAATAAGCAATTGCAAGCCCATGACAGCGGAACCGTCGAAGCGGTCTCTGTGAGCATCGGGCCTGAAGTGTTGCCTCCCTCATGCAGCTCTCCGGTCAGCAGGACCGCGGGAGGCATAGGCGATGACTGAACCTTCCATAGTCTTGAGACGAAATCGTTTACGTCGCTTCAGCAGCTACGTGCGCAAAGAGCCACAGCTTTGGATGTTCGTGCATCGCCACATTAATTGTGATGGTAGTTCGTGCTTGGTAGCCCAAATCTCGTATAGTCCGTGCTCGCACACTCCACTCCTCAGAACATACACAGGCGTTTGAGCATAGGAGCTTTGGCTAACAACACCAGAACGAAAGAAGGATGCAGCTCAATCCCTGTGATTTGTTGAAGACTTTTGGTGCTGCATGTGACGAGCCATCGTCTGGTACCTGTAATGGGATTGTCGCGAAGATTAGTATGGCAACATTACTTCTAAGCCATTTCGGGTCGTCTCTCCAGTCTCACCAGCTATCAGCCGACAATCCCAGCCTCCCCGGGACAGGCTGTTCCCTCGAGACGCGGTTTCCACCTCTCCTAGCATCGAGCTGGGATGTTGTTTTCAATGCGCTTGCGGAAGCAAGTGTGGAAGGTTTGTGAGGCTTGAGTACGTGCTGGGTGTATGTTCGAAGCAACAATAACCTCCATGGCAAATGCACATTTCTTTCTTGGGTCTCTGCTTCTAGCCCTACTCCATTCTTTTGGAATGAAACTACAGCGGCAAGCAGTATGTAGAATGTAGCTGCTGGGTGCATGTGCGACAGCCTTTGTCGAAATTCCACGAATGCGAGACAGCATCTCTGAGCCAGGTGTTGAAAAGCCCGCAGTCGCACTGTCTCTGCATTTGCAGGGCAGTGGTCACCCTTTCAACTCAAGAGAACGAATTGGCTATTAGGCTACTAGGATACAGTCCCCTGAACAGCAGTGGAGGCTTGAGTGGCGGCATGCAGCTGCGGGTGTGGGGTGGCTCTAAGCAGTGCGGAGCTTACCTTCGGTAAGCTGCCTAGCACACTTGCTTCAGCTGATATAACGGCAACTTTAAATTGACTTGACCTACTCAAAAATGGAGCTGCCCAGAAATTCGCATGCAATGCTGGTGGGAAGCAGCTCATACTCCGAGACTGGCCAGGCTTCAGCCCAACTGAGGTAGTTTGCCAACTCACGCTTTCGCCACTGCACCACGGGGTCATCGCTGGTTGCGTTCTCCTAGACTGCGCTTGCAATCACAAGTTGACACAACACGTGTCTACTTGTGCCCAATCTTCCGCATTATCGTGCAGAGACCCTAGGCGCGGAATGCGGACCAAATTCGCCTCGGGCCCGGCCGAAGCGGTCTGGAATGTTTTTCCCCTCCTACTGACTGGCCACGCAGCCGCTTCGCCCCTCACATTGGATTTCGGCTTCCAACCTCTCCCCGGCTTTGCTCAAACCCCCTTTCCCGACGGGGCTGTTTCGGGTCCCCCCTGGCCCTTCGTGGTCTCGTGCACTCTGAACTTGCTGGTTGGGCACTCTTTACCCGCGACCGAGCCGAGGCGGACGACGTGAAGCGTCTACAATAAGAAGCTTGGACGAGGGCCGACTTTGCTCAGCAAAGGCTGTAGAAATAGCCAGCAGCATTGGGGAAACTTTTGGGGCGCTACTGTGCAAGCTCCCTGACATGTCCCATGGGTGCTATACCAAGGGGCCACATCCGCCCCGATAACTGCTTTCAATGCCGACAACCTCGGTAGCAAATCGAAGCATACGCGAAAGCAAACAGCTCGTCCGAGACCTTGGGGGAAGTATGGCACTGTTGGCAAGTGTCTACGGGTAGTGGCCTTCCGACATGCGGTGATGATTCCCAAGCTTGAAGCATCACCGGAGACCCGGCCAGTCAAAGCTCAAAGGTTGCCAAGTACATGGCCTCGCAACTCCCTTCAATGGCTATCTACGGAGGTCCCACCCCAATCGGTGCAGTGGCATGTGCTCGGGGCAATCGTGTTGACAACAAGCGGAACTTTCGGAGCTGTGTGGCTTCGCGAAACATGCGCTTCTACCAAAGGGCTCATGTGATTCCTTTGACTTCACCCCGACGAAGATTCTGCACGGTGGCGCGCAGCACGATGCATAAGGCTTGCACTGAGTGCACCTCTCGTAACCACAATCAATCCGAAGAAAACCAATCGTAGAGTGTTGTGCTTGCCGGCTCAAGACAGTAAGATTTTCAAGCTGCCTGCGTCTTTTCCCCTGTGTCTGTACTCTCAAAATGCGTGGGGAGCCCGAGTAATCGAGACAGTACACATCATTATACGATTATACGACAATTCTGGTAGTCTGGTAATTCATGTAATTTGGACTTTTTGAATCATCCGTCCTTGGCTAGCAAGGCCCGCAGTGTCTTCAATTGCCGAGGCCAATTGTTCTACAAAGTCCTCACAAGTTGCAACAAGGCCAATTGGTCACTGCTACCTGTACTGCCACTGTTTCTCAACTTCGGCCGTCACAACTCGAAACAACAGGACGGCCAGCCCCGACATCGCCACCAACCCAGCTCCAAGTCTGTCATGTTGGCAGCTTGTTACTTGCTATGCTTCTGTCGACGGGCAGCTCGTAATGCAGCGTTGAGTCGAAGATGACGTCGGCTTTCCCGGCATATGGGAAAATGTTGAGCTGTTCTCCAGCAGAAACCTCGGCTCGGCTTGGTTGTCTGACTCGTCACTGGCCAACAGAAGCTCCGAGGTAGGAAACCCCGATCTATTAGTTTCCACCAGCGTTCGAACGAGGCCGGCTCATGGCCAGAGAAGCAAAAGGTCCAGCGAGCCTTTACCCGAAGCCAAATGCACTTTCTCGAATGCAGCGAAGGTGCCGAAGTGAACCTTGCTTGCAGCTGTGATTTCTATATGTCCATGACTCTTTCTGGCACGGACTCCCTCACTTGTCTGTGCCAGTTGCCCCCGCTGTCCCTTCTTTGTGCTGTGCCCTGTCGAAACCCTGCGTTCTCCCCCCCCCACCCTCACCTAGTGTTGCCTGACGAAACCCAAAAAAGGATTATCCTGCCACGGGTGCTTGTGCATTACGCGGGCCGCGTCCACGCCCCGGCTGCGCACGTCACGACCAATCCGGCGGAGAAGTCGAAACTTTCGCTCCTCGGAATTGACGTAGAAACTTTATTCTACAGTTTGTGAAATTTGACGATGAGGCAGGGAGATCAGCTGCCCTCCTGGCTTACAAACTTGCAACCTCGGCCGCATGCATGTGTACTAAGGCGGAACTCCAAATCGATGTTTCTCCGAGTCTCCGGTACCAAGCAGAGATTTCCTAGGCGCGATCCGGACCACGGTCCGATGAGGACCTGGAGCGGCATGACACTGAGAAAGTCGCTAGGAGCCATGCTGTCCGTCATGGGGAACTTCGGGCGATCTTGCATCAGGCAGACAATTCACACAGAAACACATGGCAATCGTCAGCACAGGCACCTTGAATAGGGATACATCCTCGAAGGCGGCGAGGAATTTGGGATGCAGTCCAAAGATGCCTTCGATGATGAGAACGGCGCTCTTTGGCAGCTTGAGGATGTTGCCTGTTTGCTCCTGCATCCAAGCTGTTGGAGCCAACGGCATGCAGAGCGTGAGTTGATGAGTTTCGTTAACTTGCTTTGCCTCATTCACTCGCTGGCTCTGTCTCTGGCTTGTCAGCAGAGGCAAGGTGGCTTGTCGATCTGTCTGTCTGTCCGTCTCTCTCTCTCTCTCTCTCTCTCTTTCTCTCTCTTCCTCCATATCCCTCGCTCTCGCTGGCACAGTGTACGCATGCTCGCCGTGACATGGGGAGTCCTGGATGGTGCCAGTCTTGAAGCAAAACTTCGGGAGCTCCACTGGGTTCCCCGCCATCAAAGCCTCAAGATCCTCCGAATACGGTGAGAGGGTGTTTGCTCTCGCGAAGCAGTGCATTTGGACTTGGACACTGCGCAAGCTTTCGCCCATCCTGTTTGATCTTGTCGATGCGGAGAGAGTCAGGGTCCTTTCCATAACAATTCGTCTGGTTATTGTGCGAATTGACTAGAAGCCTAGTGTCCTGGCTTGATCTGACAGCTTCTGCGGTCCGGGTTGTCCCCGGATCTATGCCCTTGTGCTGGCCTGCGAGCCCAGACGGGCCAGAACCTTTGCCTCTGTGCAGAAGATAAGAAAAGCAAGTCTTTGTAGAAGTTGCGACATGAATATCATGGAATCCCTGACTTCGCCTGCTTCTACAACCGAATCATTAAAGATCAAGGAGACTTTGTAATAGCCAGTAGGACAGTCTTGAGGGCGGTGAGGGCGTGGTGGCATCTCGTAGACATGAAGGATACCCAGACGTCAGAGAGAGACGCCAGGGCGGGAAGTCTGCAACAAACATGGCACCTGGTTCCGGGGAAGATGAGGATGCGAAGGACTAATTTGCGATATCAGCAGTCTGCGGCAAACGATCTCCCCCGTCCCGAGCATCTGAGAAATCCGGGGAAGTCAATTAAATAATGGGATGGAACACGGAGCCTTGGAACTTACCGAGTATTCATCACGGCACGTGGGTCGTCATGTAGCACATGTAGGGGGCAAGAAAATACTACAATATCAATGAAGGAAAACAGCTGCTATGATTTCAGAATATTCCCCGCTGCAAGGGCTTCTCCGTGTTGAATGTGGCGGAGAAAGGGTGGATGTGGCGAGACCAAGCGTGGAGACGAGGAGTGGGAACGGAAACAAGCGGGCAAAGAAGACACTGTAATTCCCAATGCACAGTGGCGGGGATCACATAGATCAAACAAGCTATCGCAAGACTGCATCTACGGCGAAACACCACAAAATTCCGCTACCTCTTGGCTCAAATAACCAGACGTTGAAAATGCGACTACAGCCCCAGGCCCATACCTCCGGGGCGATTTTGATCTCGAGTCCCAGAGGTCGCGAAAGCTTGCTTCTTGCTGCAAGATGTAGGATGCATCCATCGTCTGGAGCACAAAACAGTAAGCGACTACAGCAGGATAAGGAAAATACAGCGTACTTTTGCGAGCCGACGGGGGTCTAGATGGGGAAGGAACATGGGGAGAACACAAAAGAAACAGTCCGAAGGCAGATGTCGTGAGTCCCGAAGAGTGCGGCGAAGGATCTGGATTTGCTTTGCAAAACAAGGGAAGCCAGGACAACACCAGAGTCAATTACAAGAGAAAATGAAGCGATACCCATGTGTCGAGTCTCGGGAGCTGGATAGTTGCAGAATGTGGTGCAACATACAAGACAAGGGAAGCATCTGAACACATGAGGGTCAAGCACAACTTAAGCTACGGCATCTAGGTTCGGCCCGCTGATGCCAGCACTGTGAAACAGGTGACAGGTTTGCAAGCATCACGCAGGACGTCGTGACAGATACCGGCAAAATGCAACTGCAGCATCCACGAATACAACTATGACACATTCCGCAGCCTTTAGTCATGACGAGACAGCGAACATTGCATTGTCACGACCATTTCATGATGCAGGCAGCCATTTATGCCAAACCATGCCAAAAAACCCTTGACGAAGACGCAACGAAGAGATCTGATATTGCATACCATTCATAATATTGCGGGCACACTGCCACAGACGAACCCGATGCTGTTATAAACAACAGCATGCACCCTACCTACTATGGCCTCAAATATATGTCACTTTGGCAGAAGGCCGACTCTATGCAATGCGAAACAATGTTTGACAACATAGTTCCAAGGCAACGGCTCTTTGCCTACATGCATACTCGTACCCATATGCACTTTTATAGGCGGACACAGGCAAACAAACAGAGACACAGGGGAAGAGAGACAGGCAACACACAAAGAACGAAAATATCCAGCAAAACAGAGAGGGAGGTCATGAAGGTGTGCGAAGTGTGTCTGTCCTCGAAATTGAGCTCGCCTTTCGCGTCGCGAGGATGCGTAGGGTCTGCCCGTGCCTTGAAATACCTGGGCACGAATGCATGGAACAAGCTTGCTTAATGATTTGCACCACAGAGACCATGAACTTCGACATGAACTTATCGACGTACATGACATAGCGTGTCCGATATTTCTCGGCCCCTGCCCGTCGCTTGTACCGGACTTCTATGCTCACAGTTTCCACTTGAACAAACCCCCGCCAATGATTGTAGTCTGGAGTTGTGCTAGACCCGTGTTGCAGAGTATTCTGTTGGCTGGTCGCATGTCGCATTCCAGAGGCCGTGCGTCGCAGCCCCGCGCTTGCAAATGCAGTGCCAACCGAGCGCTGAAGGTCGTCTTCCTGGGTTTGCAGCCCATTGTCTGCGCTTTGTCTGGGCATCTGAAAAATCTTCTCGGTAGTACGAGGGCCTTGCAATCTCTAGTGCCCAGGCCTTTCACCTTAACTTGCTTCGGGGAGTGGGATTTGGGCTTAGGCTTGCAAGTGCAAGACTCAAAGAACAGAACAGGCCACTGTGAAGGCATGCTTCTGTGGCAATGCTAACATGGTATGAAGGTGTTTTTGAATGAAAGACCCTGTCTCTAATCTGCTTGCCTCTAGGAATGCAGACTGTACTCAACTCCGTAAGGTACAAACTTCCAGCTACAGCCCTTGAAAGAAATCAGACTGGCGGGAGTATGTTGGCCGTCTTTTCGCTGAGGAAGGAGTAAAGTCTACAAGTAGTTCTGTTCTGGCTAACACACAACGCATCTTTTGCTGCTATCTAAACACCGATTTGTCCACCGCGTGGAGGCGAACTTGATCAAAACGTAGACCGGTTTCAGGATGTCTACAGGAATGCACGATGAATAGGGCAAACAGGAAGGAGTCTTCAGTTCAAGTTTAATTGTTTTAAGGTTTCAGATTTGCCGCTCAACTAGCACCTGTGAGGGTTAGGCCCGTCATCCTTTTGGGCGTTCGGTTAGTGCCCGATATCTCTTGTTAGAGTTTGGGGATTCTGTGACCAAGTCACCCTTTAAGATGCAGGGTTTGTTGCTCATCACGTACGTTTCTGTTTTGCAGTGGCCATTTTCAATTTGTGGAGCCAGTTTTGGAGGCTTTCGGGATTTTGGAGCAATCACCCCTGTCAGGGCTTACACCGTCATCTTGCTTAGTTCAATATCTCCTCGTCACGTTCGGCTCTTTTGGAATGGGGCCTTTTGTCTTGGAGATCTACCATCCGTTATCTCTTTGATTGTTTCGGGTTTGGCACCCATCATTCCCTACTACTGCGGGGTTTGGGGTCATGCCATTTCGACACCTGCACTGGCACAAGGCAAGCGCGGACTCAGGATTCAGTGTTGAAGGGTTCGTCTAATGCGAGTCTTAGTTTGCCACACATATTTCTTGTTAAAGGGTCGGGTCCCGGCAATCCAAACAAATAGGGTTTAGGGTTTACCTCCGCCTCTCTTTTTAGGTTTCGGGTTTGGGGCTTGCTAGCTATCATGTCGCTCTTGCGATGTTTGGAAACCAGGTGCTTCTTTTCAGGTCCAGGTTTTTTTGGCTTCAGTTTGTTTCACGGGACAACGACTATACAACTAGTGCACTCTACTGTCTGGCAGGCCTATTGCGAAACTCGGGCAAGAGTTACCAACAAGATAGGACAGAAGTGCATTCCATGCAAAACTGTTTCAGCGCTTAGGGTTCTCTGCCTCCTCCTTGCTAGGACTTTGGTTTCATGCCTAAGCACCCCGGAGACAAGGCGTGGTCAAGTTTATCATCGAGCGCATCTCTGTCTTTCATAATCCCACGCCACATCGTCTAAGGCTGCCACTAAACCGCCAAACCAAGCCATGTGTTTGAGGGTCTTTTAGGATTTTTAGGGCTTCTGTCGGCTCACCTTAAATGCCAACCATCGTTCCTCAGGCTGCTGTGCGGGTTTGACAACCCGAAGAAGAAATAGCGCAGTGATGGCAGAGCCGGTAGCATTAAAAGAGTTTGGGCCTAAGCCGTGAGAGGCGCGCGAAGGCAGCATACCTCAATCTTGTGGACGAGTGACCCGCTTGATGAAGGCCCTGCCACCACAACCACGCAGGACTTCTCCTGATTCAGTGGGGCCCAATCTCAGTAAAAGCTTGCTGCTTGCTAGGCCTGCAAGTCCCGAGAGGTTCCTCAAAGCAGGAAGCAAACCCCCCTTCAGCATTATTCTATGTACTGAGTGAAATACTCTTTCCTGTACTTCAGCATGTGAGATCCATGTCTGGAACCTGTGGCCAACTTTGCAGCCACCCAGAACACTTACGACATCAGCATGCCTCTCTGTCCTGAGCGCCTGCCTCAACCCAAACTCATACCAGCTAGGCCTGAGTTCTGCAACTCAAAACCTGGGTCCTGAACTCTTCGAAGCCTAGTACTAGGCCTTGGCAGCGGTGGCAATGCGATCGCTCAGCTCACCCAGGAAATTGTTCTGCATTGTCTCGGCCTGAGAGGCTCCAAGCAGAGCGCAATTCGATCTGTCCGCAGCCACTTCATCTCTTGCAGCTTCTTGCAGATTTGGTTCTAACTTCTGGCCCTTCTGTCCGGCCTGTAAGGCCACGTGAGTCTGCTCCTTGGCCTTCGCAGCCTCGTTGCACTCCTGGCGTTTCAGCTTGTTTCGGGGCGTTTGTATCGCTAAGAGCAGAGGATTCCAGGATTCCTTGACCCCGACGCTCATGGGAAGAGGGTCTCCCAGCTTGCCGAATTCACCAGGCACCAGCGCTGAGAGATCGACCTGGCTCGAACAAAAGCTGCTGAGATTTTGTGTCACTGTCGTTTGCGGGCCCTCTGCGGCCTTTGCTTGTGCCTTCAGGGTTGTGCACGCAGAAGCCGTTGCAGATTTAGGGTTGAAGGCTTGCTCAACGACAGGAGCCATCGAATGATAATTCATTCCGGGTGTGTACAAGACCGAACAGGGCAGCTGTGCAAGAAGCGAATGGCTGCAAGATGCGGTGCTATGCGGCATAAGACTGGTAGGTGTTCCATTGACTATATGCTGACAATGAAGGCACCCCAGGCATGAACTTGGATCCCTACACTCAAAGGCTTGTGCGAAGCCCTTCGATTCCGTGACAACCGATGCTCGGAAACTCAGATTGCAAAGGGTCTCATGACATGCATTCACAAGTCCGGCGCAGTGTAAACATGCCCCCCCCCCCACAGGTCAAGTCCCTGCTCCCAATATCTTATCCAACCAAGGACTTGTTGCGGGCCTTGGGTCCAAGGAGCTTGAAGTGTCCAGCCTCTCAGGGGCAGGCTTTCGCTCGACAGGGAGTTCGCTGCCCGGCCCACGTGCCGGTGAAAACCCTCACACTTCCACAAAAACCAGACCTGTGAGTAGAAGCCGCTACGGATCTCGCCGATGCAGGATGCTTCTGCTCGGGCCGGGAAAAAGCGAAGCCGAACGGATCATCCTTTGCCCTTCCATCAACCGAATCTTTCTGTTGCACAGATGTTGACAGCAAAGCGAAGAAGGGAAGGAACTGGCTTGGACGCATGGCGACGGGAAGGGTTGCTGGGCAACCGCTTGGAGTCGGCAGTTCGACTGTGGCACGAACTAGGAGACGTCGGGCCGTCTAGTCTGGGCTTGGAGCCTCATTTCAAGACACCAGGCTGTGGGGCCTGGAACGCCAGCTGGAAGCCTGCTTTGCAGAAGAAACCAGTGCGCACTGGCAATTAAGTGCCAATGGCGATTTTCAAACCGAAGGAGCCAAGCCGCAACCAATCATGAACGGACAAAACTCTGCCGTTTCCAGGGCCACCCCGAACCGAGCCGGAAGGTTCCAAATCCCAACCATGTGTGTAACGTGCGACTGACTGGTACCGACTCTAACGTTGCAGTTCCGGCGGTGCCTTCTCTGTCACCTGGATTTCCCAAGGCACATCAGCGAGGGAGCCAGGCAGCGCACAGGGTGCCACTGCCGGTGTGCGGAAGACCTGAGGCTTTGCCGTGGCAATGACTCTGTTTCTGTGTCTTCTGTGCCTTCTGTTCTTTCTGCCTTTTTTCCCACACGTGAAGCCAAGCATTGTCACAGGTTTGCAGACGAAATAGCATGATCTGGCTTCTTCCTCAGACGGAGATTTGCACCTGAAGCACCGCATGTCCTCAAGCAACTCCTTAAAGACAAGAAGGAAGGAAAGCCATTTCTGGCAGTGCAGAGCTCGTCTCGCAATTGTCTTCAGACAAGCCCTCGGGTCGAGGTTTAAACCATCCCTTGAAAAGAAAGAGTTCAATCCTGCACCCCAACTTTTCCAGGCCTGCCGCGCTCCAGAGCTCTCGCCCTGCAGCTAGGCTCTCTCTCATTGCCCCATTTAGTGAGCTTGGAGGGTGCGGAGGCAGCCCAAGTTCGCAAATGCTGCAAAGCCTTTGAACCTTTCCTTCCTGCGAAGTCGAACTTTGATTGGCCTTGAGGTGCACAGCATGAAGCCCAATTGCAGCAGCCCCAGCGAGGGACTCCGCGAGAGCATGGCAGCCGCTGAAGCCTTGAGGCATGATTGGCGGCTACAAATGATCGTGCTGGCCTTCAGCAAAGCCCAGGTTGCCTTGAGCTTTGAGCAGAAGCAATGCTTTCGCGTAGTCCACGACTTCCAGCCCCAAGGACCTTGGCCAGGCATCCAAGCTCTTCTCCCCAAGCAGCCCTGTCGTTGGAAGAGTTCCGGTTCGGAATCGATCTTGAATACCGGAGCACGTGCAGACAGGAACCACAAGCCTTGAGGGCACATGAACCGAAACTCCAGCACTATCAAATTTTTGCCCAGAAGCGCGTTTTTGATCAGTAGCCGAACCTTCGGCCGAAGTTTCATGGAGTGTGGGCACGGTGTCAGCAGGTGTTAGAGAGGAGCCCTCTTCTTGACTGCGCCCATGACCCAAGACCGAGGATCAACAACTCTCCAACGGACACTTGAGTGCCTTCTGAGTCAGAAGCGACGCTAATGACGCCGACAAGCTCAGAGATTTATCCTGGGGGCAGAGCTTTTCAGAGGCTTCGCACGCAGACTTCCAAAAGGCCAGACAACGGTTTTGGATCGCCCATCCGAGCACAATTTAACCAAAGAACCTGGTGGACTCTGCTCTCTTGAAAACAGCCCAAAAGTCCTTGCCATATGCCACCGAGAAGGTCATGAAGGCTTCCGGCGTGCTGGGGACGCTCTCCACGCACACCTCACCTGTCGGCAAGCAAGGCATTGCAAAATTAAACATTGTTGACAAGCTTGATCAACAAAAGCGAACATCTCAGGTCTTCCTCTGCACTGCCCCTAAATCTCCGACCATGTTTGCCTTTCTCTGGACCATACTCTGCCCAACTTGCCGCGGCAATCAGCATCAGGAGTGACTGGAGCGCGACCTTGGCGGCGCCGCATGCAGGATGCCAAACTACATGTTCTCTCCCTGCTACGCATGTATGCAGGTGCCTATGTACGTATATATGTCAGCAAGCACTGTGACACGAAGGCGCGATTACAGCACAAGGAGCCTTCCAAGCCGACTCAGCTCGGGTTTTTGTCACAACTGGTAGCGAAGTCCCGGAAGAGTGGCAAACGTCCTGGGCACCCGGCTTCTGCCCGTCCGTCGGGTGGAGCTTGCGCCAGCTCCACAGGCTCCATGAGGGTGCCGGGCCCCGCGGGTGGCGCCTGCAAGCCCGGGGAAGCATTGCGCAGTGAAACTCTGCCCAGCTGCAACTGTTCTCGGCACTTGCAGTCGCGTTTTGACCGAAGTAGAGCTAGCCGCTGCGTAGGGACTCATGCAAGGCAAATCTTCTCCACGCCTTGTTCAGCTCTGCAGCCCAAAGCCAATCCACCTGAAGGAGCCATGTACTTCGCCAGGTCTGACGCTGAAGGATCATGCATGTGGGTAGTGAAGAGATTGGACGTCTAAGCCAAAGCCCAGACGATTTCAATGACATCGCGAGACTCTGCATCACTGGGAGGCACCAGACTGGCATAGGGCACAAAGTCCTTGGCCACGAAGCCCGCCACTTCCCAGAGCTGATCCTCAAAATCCAGAGACACAAACATCAATGGAGCGTCCATGCGTAGTGTCTTGGCAAGGCTCTCATCGGTTGGGACATGACGTTTTGGTCTTGTGGTCTCAGGGGTTCTCGAGTTTTCTACCGAAGCGCCGGCTGAGCTTCACGCAGGCAAGTACTTCCAAGAGGCCAACATTCAAGACAAAAATGCTTTTCTGTCGAACGCAGCTATCACAAGATCTCACCTACACAGGCTTGCTGCAAGGCTTGCAACCTTAAGGCAATGTAGCTCTTGGCTTGCTTGCTTGTTTGCTCGCTGGGGGTGTGGAGCTCAGGAGGACCCCTGGCCGCAGGCCCACCCCACCTCAGTTCGAGTCGGGCTTCACGTCTCACCTCTCTCTCTGTCCCTGTCTTGCGCAGAAGAACATCTGCAACTCCCATGCTAGCTGCTGGCAAAGCATCCACGTGCTCTTTGACAAAGCCTGCCTCAGCGCGGACAACAGGATGGGTTCATATTCGTAAGCCTGTGACTTCATTTCAGACTGTTGTTTCAGATGCTTCTTTGGCACAGCCGGCAACTTGCGTGCAACATTACACAACCATCAATTAATACTTAACTTGAGGTTCGTGCCTTTCGCGGACATTCTCAGAGTCTTCACTGTGCTTCCTAATGCTGAGGCCCTGGCTTTGAGCAGTAGCTTGTGCAGCAAAGGCTGCGAGACAAGCCCGTTCTTATTCGTGTCAAAAGCACGGAAAATTGACAGGAGCTCTTCTTTGCCACTCGCCATGGCTTGACGGCGGGCTTAGGCGGCTGTGGGCTGGACCGATGCACTGAGGCCGAACGTTCGCAAGAACTGAGCATCCCGGCACAACGAAAGGCGTCATGTCAGGATGGTCAAGGAAGGCTTTAGTTTCACGTATGCGCTTCCCACCCCAGCCTCTTGGAAGAGCTCCTCTGGCTTCCTGGATCGTTCTTTGTGCACGACTACGCGACACGAAATCATCACGACGGTAAGTCCAAATCGTTACCAGCGGGAGGCCTGCGTCTAGGCAAAGCCACGGCAAGGGCCACCAACTTTAAGAGTCGCATATCCACGGCTACAATGGATGTGGCGTACTTCAGTGCATCTGCAAGCGAGGATGAAGGGAGAAGGAAGCAAGGGAGACGGAGAGAGAGAGAGAGAGAGAGACAGAGAGAGAGTAGGGATCGAGACGAGAGACAGATCCTCTGCGGCAGTGGTGCGGTGAAGTCTGTACGGAGAAATCAGGGCTTCGTGGTTGATAGCCGGTACGGAATTCACCGTTGTAGTGAAGCCAGGAAAAATTTTCTTGGCTCCCGCTTGGCTGATCCGAAGACCGCATTGCAGGTCACACGTCGGACTAGAGGTGAAGGGCGGCACAGCACTCAACCCTTCCAAAACACCTGCCGCATAAAGAAATCGAAGCTATACATTCAAATTGAAATGACTGAACGGCAAACTCATGAGGTCCTGGTGCTCACCGTCTGGAGCGCTTCCAGTCGCGGACTCCCAGGTACCACTGCCTCATTTCCGCGTGCGGATGCTCTTGTGCTGCTCACTTGCTCCTGCAGTCGTCTTATCTCCGGCTGCCGGTGGTCCGCTTGCATTATGCCAGTGTAGTGTAGAACCCAACCAGCGTAAGAGCACCCATCACTTCAAGCCCCACATACCCAAAATCCATTCCATGTGCAACCCTGAGGTTACCAAGACAGTCCCATCAGTCCACACATGCCGACCATACTATCGCAGGGACATGAGTCCAACCCCAACACATGCACGGAACCGGGGTGGGAGAACCACCTGACCCACTTGTTGACACATAGCAACAGAACCCCCACAATCCACACTGTATGGGAAATGCGCAGGTCATTTGTTACTGTGTGTACAGCATAGCAGGCAGGGTGCTGGCACCGCCCCGGCCGTAAGTGCAACAGCGTGGATAGCAAAGCCTAGACCCAAGCCCACGGCGCAGCCTGCAAGGTTTCAGCCACGGCATTCTGCTGAACTTGGACCTCGGCCTTGTCGACTGTTTCAGGGAGTTCTGTTCAAGGCAATTTCTGCTCAAAACCTCGCAACACAAGGGGCTAGGGCAAAAGCTCAACGTGACATTTGGGTTGTGATTGGCGTGACTGGGAGGGCATGGATCATGATGATGACGCTGAAGGTGTTGCTGACGATCAGTATTGCTACCGTTACGAATGTGGTTGTTGCTGTAACTACTGCTGTTGCTATTGTTATGACGATCAATCAATATTTTTTCTTTTACTATTGCTTTTGCAGTTTCTTAGTAGTCTTAGTTCTCGTTCTACTAGTTAATTACTAGTACTATTGGGAATATGAGCTAACCGTTTTGATATTGATTGTTGTGAATATTGTTGCTATTATAACCCCAATAATTATTATTACCCTTAATACTATGAATTACTTTTTGTTGTTGCTGTCCTATTACTTTCATGGTTATTCTTATCATTATTGCTATAACAAGAACAATCGTTGTTATTATTGTTGCGAGTATCCTGAGAAATCTTACTAACCCGACTAATAGTCTGACATATTACAGCCTTTTCCTGCTATGGTCATCATTACAGAAAATGTTGACAGTATGGTCACAAATGTGATGCTCATGTGGTTGTGAAATGCTTTGGTATCTTTAAGCTTTAGCTGGGCTTCGTTTGCGTTGGTTTCTTTCCGAGAGCAAAGCCTTTTGGGCTTGGCAAGAAGGACTGCTCTCCAACGAAAACCCGTGGTGCTCGTCTACCCAAGATTTCAACATCAGGACCGACCATGATATCGCAGAATCGACGTGCAATTGGCGGAATCAGCCACCATCAGGAGAACACAAGGACAAGTGCCTATGAAGTCTCGACCTGAGCCAACCCTGCCCGGTCACCTCCGTCGGTTGTGGGGTGCTTGCTTGTCTGCTTTGAGAGGTCAGCACATCCGCTTCCTTTCCAAGGCTCCTCAGGATTGCAAACAGAAGCATGCACCGTCGCTGTCAAGCTCACGCAGGAATCAGAATGGCTGTTTGGGATCTTTGCACGCCAGAATGGCGAAATTGTCTGATGCATCGGTACGGGCCACAAAGAAAGTTGGTTTCTGCATTAACATTGACATAGTGTACCTTCCGGCGCAAAGGGTGAAACCGCGGCACGTAGCCATTCTGTGCTCACATCGACAAGGCACCGTTGCAGTCAATATCTGGATCCGTCGCATATGCTTCTCTCCGTGGCACGCTTGAGACCCCAGGCTTATCCCAGGGTCAGACATGACTTTCGACTGCAGCTCGTCCAAGTACTAGACACGCACCAAGTCTCGGCTCTTCTGCCACATCACTTTCTTCATCGTCGTCCTCGGCGTCCTGGACGACCAGATCCGGCTGTTGTTTTGGCTTCCGGGCATGGTTGCGAATGGTTGGCATTTCAATTTCTTTGCAAATTAACTATGCTTCCATGCTGCACGTGCCTTCGGACTGCTTTGTTGCGCAGGCTCTGCTTTCAGGCATGCTGCAGAAAGCGCCCTGTCTAATGTAAAACCTTCTGATATCTCGGTCGGTGGACTAGCTATGGTCTCCTCGAAAAGCAACTGCCAGCATCTCTGTTCATGGGGAACTCCAGGGTGTTGATTTTCGCGAAGCAATCAGCGCGTGGCTCAAGTCCAGCCATGCTTTTGTGAAAGCACGGGGAGGCAAGCCAATCATGCTATCTTCCGCCTCGTACAATCAATCCTGCAAACTCGGAGCATGTAGCAATTAATGGCCTCCAAACTTGCGCCCCAAACTTCCCTTGCACAGTGCGTAGACGCAGATTCCGAAATTGCCGATAGCCTCGCTCCTGCGCATCCTTGCTGCCACGGCCTTTACGCTTCCCACGTCGCCTGCGCCGCCGCCTCAGCGCCATGTCTTCAGGTTTCTGTGCCAATTTGGGCTGGTTCGACACGCCTCAGAACTCAAAATCGTTGCTTGTTGTGATCGAAAGTCTGCACATCGAGAAAAAGCTGAATTGGACACTGTGCTTCCAGCACCTCTTGACATATGGACCCGACGGAAACCCTCGGCGAATATGTCTGAGTTTCCCGGCTTTTTCTTGCCTTCTGCCGCATCTTCTTCGTGCGGTGCCTGCGGCTCTTCAGCCTGCAGGTTTTGGGGAGCATCCTGCAAAAAGCCCGGCGTGGTGATTTTGAGGGAACAGCTGCGAAGCAGTTCGACGGAGTGTGTAAGCAATCGTTCACAGTTCGTGGCTCCAGTCGTGTTCTGAGCAAGCCACGATCTGGCAAGCTGCCTGCAGAAGTTGCCATCCATGATTTAGTGCTCTGCCTGCTTCTGCACCCATCTCCAACGTTTTTGATTCAAGCACTTAATCGAGTGAGACCCAATCTTTTTCGTAATGCGAAGCTTATCGTTGTCATGCCATTGAAATCCAGCCAGCCTCTTGCTGGAGGCTGCTGGCACTTGGGTGCCTGTGGCGAAGGAGATCGTCTGCAGGCCTAGAGGCTCATACTCTACCCTTTCAGGATACCTAGGTTTATGGATAGGATCTCTACATGTTACAAAATGGAGTAGATACACCAAAACGGGGTAGGGTATGAGCCTACAGTAAACCCCAAGCCCTGACAGAGCGCTTCTCGGACGAGCAGAAAGACACTAATGTAGGGGCCTTAATAATTAGAATAGGGTTCCTTTAAAGGGTTGCTTTTAAAGGGGTCTATCCAGTCCAACAACCATTATACGCCAGTAGAAAACTCTTCATGCAAGCAGCTGATGCGAGGAGCTCACCGATGGCTGCACTGCTTCCTGCGAGACCCGCCGAACCGGGGAGACGTGAGCTGCTGCTTGCACATGACGCGCTCTCAAGCTTTAGTTGGGGCGTCTGCCATGTAGGTTCCCTCGCCTCATGAAACAAAGTACACGTGATGCCCATTGACCGTAATGCACTGGGTGTCGAATTCAATAGTCCCAAAGTCAGTCATAATTAGGGCTCTCCAAAAAGGAATACAAGGAAAATTTACAAACATCTCAGATCGATACCTAGCGCGCATGCAATCACAGAAGGGTTAGATGATCTTAGATGGTATAGCGTTTTTTCGAGCCCCGGTTCCGAATTCTACCTTTAGCAACTTTAGTACGAGGCACATCTGTACGGCAGCTTTGTTAGCAGTGTCGCGAGTTTTGGCCAAGATCGTCAAATGTAATGGACCAAAGAACGCAGATCACTTCTATCTTGAATTTGCAATCAATGAGAGCTTCTCGTGTCAAGCGAAGTAGGGTGGTGCTGGAAACATGCTGTTGGTTACTAAGGTCAGCGCTCGCCATGAGCTGCTTTCGGAATGGAGGCGTGGACCATGTGGTCTTGAGTCATCGATCTTGTGACTCAAGCAACACATGGACGTCGCCAGAATACGAAACCCACCAATGCCAATTGCTTGCAGACAAGCACAGCGAGTTGACGACTTACTGGAAGTTTTATGTTGTTTCGATCAATGCCGAACTGCTTCCAAAAAGATTTTTGAAACAACCCTACCTTAAAACCTGAATCCTCAAACATCTTGCTGCCTGCACATCGGGAGCTGCATTCTGTAGCACTTGCAGGTGCTGCTGGATCAACAGTTGCTCGAGGACTTTTGTTGTTTCGATCAATGCCGAACTGCTTCAAAAAAAGGTTTGTGGAAACAACCCTACCTTAAAACCTGAATCCTCAAACATCTTGCTGCCTGCACATCGGGAGCTGCACTCTGTAGCACTTGCAGGTGCTGCTGGATCAACTGCTGCTCGAGGACCTTGGCGGTGACACTCTCTAACCTCCCTTGGGCCAGCAATCTCGATATTGTCAGTCCTTGCCCTGCCTGATGAGTGTGTATCTGAGGAGGACGTTCGTGACTTTCTCCTGCAACACATGCAAGCTAGTAGCAACAATCACAACGCGTAGTCCACGCCCGGGCAGTCATCAATTGCAAAAACCTTCTTCCCCGCGGTCCTGCATTTTCTGCCATGCCTGCAGTGTTAGGAGCCGCAGCATCGGAGGTCGCGAAGTGCTGCCCGGTCGTAGGCCTGGCCGGGGCAAGCCGTTGCGCAGAACAAGTCGAAATCGTAGATCTGCGTGCTGTTAGAACGTTTGCCTCGCAAAAGAACATGGCAAAGTACTCCAAGCGCTAAATCTTTTACTCTGTTAGATGCTGTCAGCAAACGACAATGAGAGCGGAGGCCCGCAGAAGTTGCACGATGCTTAGATGTCTGTTTCAAAGATGGGGGTGGTTCGGTCCGAGCATAGGGAGAAGGGCAAGCGGCAGGATGCAGAGTGGTGTCGCTGGAGGCTGCGGTACCGCCGGCACCGGCATACTCATCATGGCGGCCTGTGAGCAGACTGGAGCACGTTTCGCAAACTCGCTTCCCGTTTCCCCGTTTCTCTCTAGAGTCATGGGACACTTCAGGCATGATCTGGACAATCGAACCTAGACTAGGAACGCGTAAGACTTGGGAACCAGCGTTCCGCACGGCTTGAAACAGGATGTACTCTACGAGGCTCTATGTGTACAATAGCTCTGGGCAGCTCAGAAACAAGGTGGTTAATGCAGATGCAGAGCTCAGAGCTAGAAGCTGCAAGATTTCGAATCTCAACTAGGTACATCTCTAGACCTTGCCAGCCTCCGTTGGGGGTAGGCCCGGGGGGCCAAATGGGTAGGAGGCCCACTCGGCGGGCACCTTGTCAGGACGACAGTTGGTGTCCCGTCAAGCTACAGGGCACTAGATGGATGATGTCGATTCAACGTTTAGCCCGTCTTCCCGACTTGACAGCGCAAGTTAGTCTCTGACAAGACGGACAAAAGCCTGACCAGCACACATGGCTGTGGACATCGCTATGCGATGCAACAAAACTCATAGGCTCATAGGCTTTCTTCACATAGACACCGAGCACTCGCATGAAAATGCATTGAAGCTCGTTTCGCACACTGCAGCCGTGCGCAGTTTAGACCCAACATGCCCCCTTGCTGGCTTCAAACCAGCCGAGGCATTCGACGAATGCCTCGCTAGGCCTGTGAAGCCCATGCTAAACCGACGTATCTGCCTCACAGAAAATTCCACATGAATTCTGCGCCCGAAACCTTGACGGGGTCTGGGCAGGGAACGCGGTGAAGACTTTTCTCGACCCCATTTGTTGCTGACCTGAAGTGTCACATCGCCTCTCCCGAAAAGCCTCAATCACGTTCACTAGCTGATTCGACATCACTGGATGTTCGGGTTGCCTTTGTTTCTCGTGTCCGGGTCTTTTGCTTCCCCGCCAAATTCCGCAAAAACGACTGGGACCTCCCGCCACCAGACCTGCAACAGTTTACAGAAAACCTGCAACCTCCAGAGGCTTGCGGCGACTGGGAGAGCTTTGATTTTGGGTTGCATAGTCGGCACCTCCAGGGAAAGCTACCGTGTACTTGGCTGCGCGCGGGAACCGGCCCGCCGGGGTGTCTTGATCAAAACGGATGGGCTTGTCCCTGCAGACCCCCACCAACTGACCAAAGTTGACCAGCTACACCTGCTACCAAGTGGTGTGAACATATTTTCCAGAGCCACGAGTGGACATGCACGCGCCCCATCCTGTTGCTGCCTCGGGCGTAGAGGCAGTCTTGTCCTTTTCCGAATCTGGCACACGCGAAGGAAGTTTTTGGAGGATCAAGACATTTCAGGACACCTTGCTGCCTTGTTGGATCGACAGCCTCGATAGCCCGACCAGTGTGCGAGGTCAAGCCGTTCCAATCGTAATGGGCTTCCACAACTGGGGGATTCTGACGGCTGCCAATGCTGTCTTTGCAAAGCAAGGCAGCAAATCCGCATCCACAAAGCAAGGTGCGTGGCTGAACGCAGAGCCGGTTCTGGGAGAAGAAAAGCTTTGCCAACAATGGCTACCTTTCATGAAAAAGCCATGCACGTCATTTCAGCAATGTCGGCTTTTGTTGGCAGTCGGATGGCATGCCACCTTCCATTGGGCTATGTGTCACAAGAGAGGAGAAACCTGTCGGGAAATCGGCCTGCCAAGCATCTGCCTCCATGCCGATAGGTATGCAACCTTCCACGGTGCCCGCCATGCCTTCGGGGGAGGGTGGGTGCGATATTCTGAAACGGGTTCACAGCAGCTTCGAAAGCGACACAGGTACAGCTCTCAACCTGGATTTGGACAGTGGAGGAAGCCATGCAGCCTGGAACCTCCCCTCGCAACTCCGGTTGGATCCAGGCTAGTCATCGCGCGATTCAGTAACGCTGTTCAATGCGCCACCGACGTCGAAATCCGAAACACTCGAACCACGAATTCTCCTGAGCACTACCACAAGAGTGCGGTCCTGGATGGATGCCCCAGGGCCAGTTAGCCTGGCCCCAGGGCCATGCCGAGAGATCCTCGGAAACAGCAGCACTCGGCGGGGCCTGCAGAGAGCAGATTCGTCTGTGCTGCAGAGTGGTTTGGGCCTAGGCCTAGCATTACTTTTCCTGAAACCTTAATGGTTCTCACTTCGGCAGCTTGTTGAAATCCTCTTCACATCCATCCCCAGCTCCAACTCCAACATTCCGGGTCCCAGGCAAAAGGATGAAATTCGGGTGTCGCCGATGAGGCGAGCGCGGTCGGCCCAAAGGACAGGTTTTCCTCTGATGCCCAATCAGCGCAAAGGACATCAGACTGAAGTCTGCTTAGTGACCGAAAGTCAGCTTTAGGGCGGCGCTGCGACACAGCAAGCAGCAGCACCATGGATATTGCCGAAGTTTTTCTACTACCTCGACCGTCTGCATGCTTCGCTCTTGCCTTGCTACAAGGGCTACAAGCCCTTGAAGGCGATGCAAGGGGCTAAAGGAGGGCCAAGCCAGGTGCATAGTGCATTCAGAACCCTATGCCAATGCAGAACATTCTCCTCAACCTGCTGCTCCTCAACTCTGTGCAATCCTAAAGATGGCAAGGTGGCAGAACCCAGCGAGCTCGAGTCCGAGTTTCCAGGCGCAGCTTTGCAATCACCGGCCTGGGCTTTTCAGAGAGGGGTCCGATTTTTTACGCGGTGCAACGAAGGAGAAGCCTCACCTCTATCGTAGCCAAGAGTCGGCTGTCCTTCTTCCAGGAAAACGCGCACAATGTAACGACGAACCTGGTCGCGGCATGTTGCACCAAAAGCGATTCGTTATGACCCATCGCACCAACGACTCTTGCATGTATGAGCCTTGGCAGTTGCTTTCGCATGGAGCTTGGGGGATGCCGGTGCATGCAGTTCTGTGCGAGGCGGCTAACCTCGGGGCGGTAGCAAAGTGCGCGAGCCTCAGGGTCAAAGGCATCGATTCGACACCACTTGCCGTTGAACTCCGCCGACCTGCTGAACACTTCCGCAGGACTGCGTGTAGTTTCTGGCGTGTAGATGTGTGTAGATTTTCACCTCTGATCGCGTTTGCGTTTCTCCTCAGTAGAGGATGCGACACCGCCAGGTGCTTGTAGCTTTGCAGATGATCCCCTAACTCACGCGTGAGACCATTTGATGATGGATCGTTGTGCAGACGCCAACGGCCGCAATAAATTTGCACAAGCTATCGGATCGGCTAGTTCGCAAACTCCAGGACGAACCTTTTGAAAGGTTTGAGACACGCAACATTCAACCACCAATGAGCACCACCTGCCTCACAAGCCCAGAGATCAGAGCTGCCGTCCCGATCAAATCCGAAACCGCCTCTGACTCGGTGTGATATCCTTGGAAAACAAGGACAGCCAAAGGTCTGATGGGTATAAAGCGCTTGTTTCAGATACGAAGGCCACCGTGCATCTCAGCACTGGTACTTGCTGCCTGTGCCGGGCCCGCTTTTGTGTTGGCGTTGGAAGTTGCCATTTGTGGCTTTCCTTGTTGCCAAAGATGTATAGCAGTGGATGTGCAGGGCTTTGCTTCGCCTGAAGTGGAGGATACCAAAGACCATCCTCTGTCCATTCCTCTCCTCCTTCCTGTTCGATTCCGCTACATGTCGCATATCACATGATTTTGCCGTACAGCGACGGCTACACAGACTCTCCTATCTAGATTTCGAGATTTCACCTTAACGCAGGCTGGACAGAAAGGTTGGGGGAGGGAACGGGGATGCATTCCCCTCATTATAGGTCGAACCTATAGAGGCGTTCATGCAATGAAACTCAAGGTTTACTAGCTTATAATTAAGTTAGTGTATTCGTATAACAGTATATTAGTACATCAGTATGTTGGTGTATTAGCATTGCTTTCAAGGCAGCCAAGGCTCCGCAGATCTGCGGCTCCTGAGTGAATTGTGGATGTGCGAATTTCGATGATCAGCATCGGGATATCCCGGATTTTCAATTTAAAGTATAGCACCAGTTCTAAATCTCGGTACGAACGTCTTTTGGGAGTTGACCGTGCAAAGCTTCCGTGATGCTCAAAGACTTGCAAAGAAAGAGCTTCTTAGACGGAAGCATCTTGCTGCTGAGAATCATTGGCGCTGACACCTGGCGAGATGGCAATCAATGCATGTATTTGCTCTGCCGCCGTGCGCTGACTGAATGTTTTGCCTGCTTGACGCCTGAGCGAGAAACCCTAAGCGAGGGATGGCCTGCACCTTCCGCTGAAGATGAACAGCCTTTCCTGGTGAGCTTGCTGACAGGTTGGGAGGAAGAATGTGGCACTACTTCTTCTGGAACCTTTGGTGCCCCTCCCCCTCGTCCACTGGTGCAACCACACCGCTCATCATCCTATGCTGATCGATGCCTGTGGCTGTGGAGCCTGCACCTGCCATTAACCTGAGAAGACCTTTATGCCTTTCCGTTGCAATTTGTGGCTACGTGGCTTCAGGAGAGTCTTGCCCAATCCAAGTAGTGACCCTAGCAGTCAAAAGCATTCTCCTAAGCGCTTCAGCTTTTGTGGGTCCGGGCGTCTGAGCAGAAGGCCCGGGATCCGAAAAATGCCGGGCTTCTTCCTGGCTGTCCTTGTGACGTGGCGAGAGACCGGATGAAAACACAACACGGAGGCGCAGGTGGAAACAGGTCCGGACATGTCTTGCTAGGTGTCGATTTCAACAGCTCTCAGAACTCTTTATGAGTGATTCGGGCTCTATGCTAAACAGTCAGGGGAGATAACAACGATCCCAAATCGATACCGAGCTTGGCTTCTGGGCTTGAAAAGTGCAGGTTCAGCGTCAGCATCGATGGGCGATACCTCCAAGAAGGAGTTCTTGATTCGGCACTCTAAAGGTAGTCCGACAAGCCTGCAGCTTCTTTGGGCACTTGGCTTCGGCGCTCGCACTCGGACAATCCAGGCGAGGCATGTGATTCAAGGTCTGCAGAGTGAAAGTTGATCTAGGATTTAGTGGTTCGTGCTGATTAGGCCAGTGAGCATGGAACCATCTCGGGACCACTACCCCAACAAACATGCATAACGTGAACCGCCGTAAACGTAAAAGCGGTGTGGAAGCCCTGCCATTGTCGAGTAAGAAAGCTGCGTCGGGAATAAGGGCGGGAAGCACTTTGGAAAGAAACTTTCTTTCCAACGAAGATTGCTTCTATCTAGTCTAAACAATTTCACTTGCCACGGCTCGTGTTTGGTAGGAGCCGTCTGAGGAAAAAGAGAGAGAGAGAGAGAGAGAGAGAGAGAGAGAGAGAGAGAGAGGAAAGAAGGAAATAACACGAAGCGACAGGGCACAGAGAGAACCACAGAAAGATCTTGAAGGGAGGAATGAAGAGGGAGGGACCTGGCTGGTGCAAGAAACTGAGCCGGCAGCAGCCGGGACAATGCAGGCGGCATGGGAACCAAGCACAAGACAAGGCCGTGGTTTGTTTAAGGTTGTAGCCTCTCGAGGCACGTAGATGTCAAGACACTGCCCCAGGCAAAGCTAGCAGGACAACGCCAAGTCGCACTGACAACTTTTGCGAACCCCCTTGCTCAGGTGATATAGGTGACTGCTCAGGCCTTGCATAATAATACGACGAAGCCTACGATGACCCATAGCCAGCACCCAAGCAAGACCGGCCAATGTCAAGGGCCAGCCTTTTCTCTGTGGGTGCCGGGTCGGGAGCTGGCCGCAGGAACGTCAGCCGCAGCTGCATCGATTCCCTCCTTAAATCCCAAGGCGGCTTATTTCATCTCGGGTCCTACTCGGCTCGGGGCTGCGTTCACCAGTTGTCATGGCAAGGGGTGTGATTGTTGAGCATCCAAGATTCACTCCTTGCCGATCGTCTCCCAGGTGGGTTCGACATTACGAACGAGACTAACGGTTGTTGTTTTGGCAGGTATTCCCCGTTGTGCGTGCGCACGCACCACGGCAGCCTGCCTAGCAAAAGCCAAAGGGCCAAAGGGCGCTTGTCATGGTGCGTGTGGTCAGCCAACACTTAGTTCCTGAGTAACGAATTCATCAGCATGATAGCCACCACGTTGCAAATTGAGCATCCAAAGCTTCTAGAGCGAACCCCGGAAAAGTTCGACAGGAATCCAAAAGGCCCAGGAGGACGGCCCGAAGCCAAAACACCTGCGGGACTTCAACTTCGAAGATGGATGCAATACTCCGTAGCTCGTCACCTTCGAGCACACTCCAGGCTCGACGATCCGACATGTCAAAATGCGTATTTGAGGCCGTCCTCCTCGGGAGGTTCCCATAAATCGCGTGTCGCTGTCGGGTCTGCTCTTAGAATCGGAGATCTCCGCTGCCGACCACGCAGGAAAATCTCAAAGAGCCGGGGTTTGCTGCATCCCGACATTTCCAGACTTGAATTGCTCTGCCCTGGCCGAGTGATGCATCAACACGAAGCAGCTCCCACACCGAGGGTGAGGGTATCCGAGTCAGACGGTGCCGGCAGACCGGGTTCCATCACGTCCAACATCCTAAATGATCCGTTTGCCTCTCACCTAGCCAGGACGAGCCGGCATTGTGGGGTTAAGTCGAAGACCGCAGTTGAAAAGATGTCACGAGCAGCTGTCTGGCATGAAGTTGATGTGAGACTCGTGTCCAGGGGCCACCCGTCTTGCATGTTGATCGCGCACTAGCACGAACCCATCACCACAGTGCAGTCGACCTTTCTCGAAGATATCGGTTCTTGTTTTTGACATTCGCACCGTCACCTTGCAAGCGGAACGTGCAGTCCCTCTGGCAAAACAGGAGACTAATTATGAACACATTTTCAGGCGGTAGGCAATGAAAGACTAAGCACAAGCGAAACAAGCAATTTGAGGATGCGAATTTGCACATGAAGCTCGGACCGAGAACTTGAACAAGGACTGGCTGGACAACTTGTCACTAGCACTGCGGTATAAGCGAGTCTGAGCCTCGTCAGTGTGCCAGACTGGCCTGCGTTTCGAGCACCCCCCAACGGACGCAAAGACGGGAGCGCGTACTTACTTGCAAAAGAGATTCAACTCGTGGCGAATGACCCCATAGCCGGCAAGGTAGTTCGCTTCCTCGCAGATGTGATTGCTAGCTTTTGCGTTGAACGGCCAGCAATATAACTTTAACACAACTGACGTTCGTTGGGCTTTCGTGCTCGCGCCACGACTTGGGTGGGTTCTAGACTTGTTTCAGAAAGCCTGCCGTAAACTGCAACCCAAGGTACCACGAGGGTGCTGCCGGGCCTGCAAGCATGCTGAGTTTCTGAATGCATTTCACTCATGTTACAGGGAGCCGGGTAGAACAGTGCAGCCATCTCTGCTAAAGCACGGACACTGGCTGCATTAAGACGCCAGGCAGGATTGCCGGGGCCTGTCGCAACGCGAAGCAGTGAGGACTTCTCTACTTGCGCGACGTGACCGTGCAGTTGCACCGGTATGCATAGCTCCAACAAATGCTAAACATGCCTATGCCCTGAGAGCTAGTTTGGCAGTCTTCTTTACCTTCCTCCTGAATCCTGTATCTTGCTACCGTGTGGGAGCATCGCGCGCACTAGACTCTTAGCCTCCTGGAACGCTTCTGTTCGGACATGAAATGTTTTTATGACATGAAGCCAGAAAGCCCAAGATGTCAAGAGACTCCTTACAGCCGAGGCTCTCCAATGTAGAGCGACCGAGCTCGCACTCACGACTGTTCCAGCTCGCTGCTGGGCTGCCTTCACCTTGGTCATCCCCTTTCTTATCGAGCTCTTGGGTATGGGAGGTCAGCGAACGAGTTCAAAGCCTCTCAGAATGCCTTCCGGCAGCGCATGGACCACCAAGTTTTCGATCGAATGCTGCATCATGCTGGCCCTCTGTACTGAGGAGACTGCTCACTGACTCCAGGAGAAATCTTCGCCTGGAGAATGTAGCTATACAGAAGCCGTAAACAAAGCGAGTGGACGCTTGCCATGGCATGTACCTGCAACCACTCCCCGTGAGCACCCGCTTGCGCCTGGTCGACAAGGCCGTTTGATTCCAAATAAAGCCCCAGTCTTCTGTTGCGGACTCTCTCCTTGCCACTGCCAGGTGCAAAAGGCATCTCATCACGAACTTTCAGAGACCAGGAAGATGGAGGGTCTTAATGTCTGTTCCTCGCTTGATGCGGTGTTTGTCTTGTTGGGACCAGTCTCGCTTGCACAATCTTGCGTAAAGAAGAGGTAGTGTCGGTTATGATGACATTGCCGAAGCTCTATGCATGTCATATGCTGTGCTTGCCCGTCTCTCGTATTGCGATTTTCGCAGTGCTGGAAGGAAGCACCTGAAACTCCCGTGCGAGCTTTGCTGCAATATTCTTCTGCTTGCGATCAGTCTCGGCAAAGCAGTTGCGGGGTGAGATGCTCAGCATGTGGCAGAGACGCTGAAAGGTAAGGCAAGACTCTCAAGCTGCACGTGGAAAGCGTCTTCGGTAGGGCCCTCCCAAGGGCTTCCGGCGGACTCATCCCCCTGTCGGCCAGAGTTCGTATCCAAGCAAGGTCGGGTTCTGCCTACAGTGGGGCAGTTGCAGCTTCAGGGCATAGACCTGAACTCTGCTTGGGTTGAAATAATTAAAAAACTGCCTTCGCGTCACCTGGCCCACTGAACCAAAAACAGGGACTTACCCGTTGGTGGCAATATCCCTTAAGCCTTAGTCCAGACAAGGATTTGCGAATGCCATCGGTCGCTTGGAGGAGCGAAAGTGGCAGTCGACCAGACAAGCAGGAGCTGTTTTTCATTTGCATGTGGCGCAACGAGTGGTGCCAGCCGTGCTGTGTTTGTTTTCTCCTAAGCTTCCTCTCTGGCTCTAACTCTAACTTATGCATCAATACCTATCCGATAGATCAAGAAGGAGCTGAGGGCGCTCTGTGTGCAAAGCTGGACAAAGTACAAAACAACGAGATCGCACATTCGAAGACCCTTTTGTCAGGTATAGAGTCGGACAGGGATTTCAGGTCTGGGCTGCAAGACGCACCTGCTCCTTCGCCAGGCTCATCAAATCTTACTCGACCCTGTGGAACGTGCCTCTGTGATGCTCCCACAGAGGTCAGAGGAGCTCCCCATGCGACGCTTGCCTTTCACCTTGCAGGTACAGAGCAGGGCAAGGTCAGCGCAGGGTGTCGCACTCAAACCAACATTGAGCATGAGACTAAGCTCTGTGGACACGCCGGGCAGCAACATGTCCGTGCTGCCAAGTGGCGAGAGGTGCAAAGCTGCTCTTGGAAGGCATGCCGCTATGGCCTCTCGACAGATCCAATCACTGGGGCAAAGCTCTAGGATCAAGACTGGACGAAAGACAGGGTCGCGATCGAAAAGTCTGAAACATCGAATCGGGATCCTTAAATCGTGTTCCTACGTGCAACTGCAGCCGACTGGCACACTTATTTGGCTTCTGTGCTCGCCACCCTCGCCACTTGCTTGCTTGCTTTCGGGTCTGGGGACAAGTCCCCTGGCCCGAAGGCCTACCCCCCACACGGTCTGCAGTCGTTCTCGGAGAGGCCTCTACCCTCGCCACCCTCTCTCTCTTCTTCCGCCGGGCATGAGGGGTTGTTAAGACCCCTCGGCCACTAGGGCCCCCCCAAATTTTGTGGGGACTTTGGAGGAGTGTGAAAAGGTTACGTGGTTGTTTATCCCCCTGGTGGATCAGTTTACAGAGGATAACAGTAAAAATACGATAACACAATGCGACACGTACGATCCCCCAGGTATTTGGACTACACACTTTCAGCAGTTCTGCTTGTTCGGTCCGGGGATGTTGTCTCTCTCTCTCTCTCTTTGCTTTGCTCGGGGTATAGGGCGGGAAGCAGTCCGTCCTCCCTCCCTCCTCTCTCTCTGTCTCTCTCTCTGTTGCTTCCTTGCTTGCGAAGGTCTGGGTGCACGCCCCGGCCCGAAGGCCAATCCCCCATGGCTCGCGTCTGTGGGTCTTCGAGGCCCCTTTCGGGGTGGGATGACAGGCACGTTCCCTCGAGTGCTCCCGTGCCCCCGAACCAACCATGCCAAACCATGACCAACAAAACCCTCCCTCCCTCTCTCCCTCTCTCTGTTTTATCTTTTGTCTCCCACACGACCTACACGCACCTGCCAAACCTTCTTCACGACTATCTCTCGGTTCAGTGGCATCTGTACGGGACCCTGTAATTCCCGGCCCAAGCCTTTGGATCGTGCCATCTGCAGCCAGGCTCGTGCGATCTGTGCTGCTGGCATCGCAACACCAGTGTCGGCCATCATGACCTCGGAAAAAGGCTCCCGGGGAGTGCATTTGATGCCATCAGAAGCAAACCGAAGAGCCAGGGAACGTTGCCAGTCCACTGTTTGAACAGCTCCTCCGCATCGTCCTGCTGGACTCGTGTAGACAAGCGAATGAACAAACCGCTGCATGCCCAAGCAGTCAGCCACAACATCTCACAGGATAAGAACGAACGTGTCAGGAGTGGGCTTGATGGGGATTGCGATTTTCGATTCTCGCGGCTTTGAGGAAGCTTGCGAATCATGGCGAAGCACTAGTGAGCCAAAATGCATGTAGACACGCGGAGATCAACCGCCTCACATTTACCACGCACGCAGCATGCACATGCATTCCGCAGCGCCATTTCCGGACACTGCACCGATGCGTTACATTCAGCGATGGTATACTGGAAGCGGAAGAAGCGAGTAGTCCATGCATGAATGCATTCCTGTACCGCTCGAATGCACACATCGTGCATGCGCTGTGGATAAACCACGCGTTATGACCATGTAACGAAACAGCATCACACGGGATACATGTGAAAGGATCCGAGATATATGAAGATGCCCGACTTCAAGCTCGTTCTCACAGTTCAGTCTCCCTCCGACCCACTCCCGCCCGCTGACTTACTCCAGTTGTTCGCCAGCCCCGACCCACCAACTCCACCACTCGGACCCGGCAAGAGTGGCAACCTTTAAGTGTCGGGATCATTAGGTCGTGATCCTCCGGACCATCGCAACTTGCAACTTCTTCTGGGCCTGCTAGAGTCTGCAGAGGACAGATGCCCTGACAGAATCTCAGCAGACTTTGAACCCCAAACTGACCCCTGGCACCCCGTCCTTCTTTGAGGGTGCTGGAAGTGCTGGGGGCTGTGGGGGCACCGGAGAAACATCCTTCGTGACCACTGTGGGCTGCGCCTCTATGTTGCAGGCACAGAGCTGGAAGCATCAGGGCATCAAGCTAAGGAGGTTTCCCTGAGGCACAAGGCTGCTAGATCTGTGTCTCTATCAAGGCTGGTTGAATGTCACAGCCTGGCGCAAGCTACACACGGCTGCAATGCCGAGGGTGGTAGAGGGAAGAACAGCCAGAACAAATTATGCGTTGATCTAAGGCAGGGCAGCTACGTGTCTTACGATTGAGACCAATGGAGTCGCCAAGATTTGTGCATGGAGCAGATGGGGTTCAAGATACCTTGCCTGCAGATTGGCATCTTGGCGGCTGGCATGGGCAGAGAGAAGCCTGCACATGAATGGGTTGTTTCAAAAGATTTAATTTAACAATGCTTCTACGACCTTTAGGTCAAGAGGATTTGTACAAACCGTCGCAGCATACCGCCAACTAACCCAGTTAAGACCATGCGATTGCAACGTGTGGAAAGTAGGCCAGATGCTCCGTGATGTTCAGCTAATGCTCATGATGGTCGAAGCACTCATCTACGAAGTATGGCTGTAATTCAAGTTGCAAATCTTCTCAGTGTGCGCATGGCCCCTGCTCAGGATGACACGCACTACTGAGGTGTCTGGCATGGCATGGCCCCTGCTAAGGATGACACGCTTTTCGAGACGCACTTGAAGGTGCGATAATCGTTGTGAATTGGCTCAAGTGAGCATCCAAGCGAGAACCAGGAGTTTGAAAGACTCAGCCCTCTCTGCCAGCTCGGCAGAGCAGGGCATGATTAGGGTCAGGGTTCACTTCGGAGCTTGTTCGTGGAGGCGGGGTAGCTTTCAAGGTGTCAGGTCAAGAAGGCGAGAGGCTTGGGAATCAGGTGAAGTTTGTAAGTAATGAACTCCCCTGCCCCAACCCACTTTAGTATGGTGACGGACTCTCACTCACCAGATCAGCTTCAGGTTATTATGAGCCCAAACGTTATCCAAGCAACGCCGCAGCAGCATCAGACGACAGAAGACTTTGGCATCTTGCTCCGCCAGCTGACTAGTATCGCTGTGTCGCCCGAGGCTTTGCGCGATTTAACAAGAGCTCAGGAGTTGCAACAGGTGGTACATGCAATGCTTCAGAAACAGTCAGTGCATGAGAGCCTTTTTGTTGCTACAGATGAGCAGATTCGCATATTGCACCAGCGACATGATAGCTTGATGCGTATGTTACGGCAGTTTGAACATCAGCAAGATGGTCGATGGAAAAGGTACGCATCGAATGATGAGCTTCAGCAGGCATCTCTTCGTGAAACCGCATCGCAGGCGCAGGACATTGTGGACCAAGTTCAGAGCATGATGAGAGAGAGCTGGAGTCTGCAAAGACTACTCTTGCGTTGTTGCAGGAAGCCGTAGGGGCCTTGCAAGCGGATGTAACGGCATGTGATGCTAAGTTGGAGGGAATCAGAAATCGTGATACAGCGACTCCTTTGTCTGCAGACCACAAGCACGAGCAAGACGCATCAGCAGAGAGTGACCCTGGACATCATCATCACGATACGGGTTCGCTTAAAAGGAGCATGGAGGTTCTTGTGACGCAAATGTTGAATGAGTGTCGCCAGCGGGAGGCCTTAGACTTCAAGTTGACTCAGGAAGTGTCAGCCAGACGTAGCCTTGAGAGAAGACTGGAAGCATTAGAAGGCCGATTGCAGGCAACATCATTCTTTGAACGCCGACCTCAAATCTTTCAGATGTCTCCTGATCCGAGCGGTCAGGTTGTGGAACATGATGGGTACGAAGATCCCTGGTGGGCCCTAGGTAGCGGTCCCCCTGGACTAGGGGTACAACCACCTCCGATACCGGAGAATCTTCGTGAACCAAGTGAGCAGAGCCGGCAAGATCATGAACCATCTCATTCATGGGACGTACCAGGCCACGGTGCACCAATCGGCCAAGTACAATCTGTGTCAGTGGGGTGTGAAGCTGTACCAGCTACAGAAATGGTTGAGGCAACTTTGGACGCTTGTATCACGCCTAGACCGGGTAGTGAGCGAGCTATGTCAGGTACGGTGGAAGCTTCTTAAGGACGTGCCTGCATTGCAGATAGCAAAGGGCACGACCCCTTGGGAGGCTGGGATGACTTTTCATTCTTGGAGGGCGCAGATGCGGACGATATGCCGTGGGGTGTCACAGGATTTTGGCACGTTTGCGGATGGATGTTGGGAGAGGGCACAGGTCCTTTACGATGAGCAGCTGGCATCACGGGTGAAGGCAAAGGCGCCAAGTGTTAAGAGTTGTGATATCGAATGGGATGGACGCTTGACCAACATGCTTCTACGCACAATTCCAGAGGAGCTGAAGCAGCCTGTCATTGAGGAAGCTGGTGGCTATAGCATCACTGCTGTAGCGCTGTGTTTGGCAGTCTTGACTAGGCTGCAGCCCGGAGGATCTGAAGAGATAACGAGCCTTCAGAAGTTCTTGAGGTACCCCACTATCGCAAACAACTTTCAGGAGATGGCTAAGGTTCTGAGACGGTATCAGTTGGCCTTAGGGCGATCACGACAGTTGAAGCTTCCAGAGCTTGCACCACCTGAGGGTCTTCGGGCCGCATTGGCCATTGCCAGGAACATGGAGCGACGAAATGGGTCGTTGCAAATGCGCCTTAGTATTCTGCGTTTAGACCCTGCTACTACCTGCTACTTCTACACGTCCCACCGCCAGAGGAGTAAGTCAGGTGTTGGAGATGTTAGAGAGGGAGTGCATGGATCTTGCAGCCGACGAGCAAATGAAAGGTAGCAGTGCAGTTGATTCCATGGTTGCAACAGCTACAGCTGACCCAACCAAACGGAGGAAGTGCTGGTTCTTTAACACAGCTGAGGGATGTAAAAAGGGAAAAGATTGCGAGTATGCGCATGAGAAAGGAGGTAAGGGTAAGGATGAGCCGAAGGGTTCAGGAAAGGGAAAGGATAAAGGAAAGGAGAAGGGAGGGAAAGGCAAGGTCAATCAGGCCGAGTCGACTTTGTCACCTGCCCCGAAGTCCAATCCCAATCCGAAGGGCGCACCAAAGGCAGAGGCGAAAGCTGATACCAAGGCTGAGGCTAAGAGTAAGGCTGCTGCTAACAAGCTTTTGGGTGTGGATGAGAACAAGCCTTCAGCGAACATGACTCGTACCAATCATCATTGCGATGCATGGCGACCGACTGTGGCCAAGGTGACATCAGGACTCCATTCCGTTTGCCTAACAGGGTCCCCGACGGTAGCCAAAATTACATCAGGTGGTAGTGGTGATCAGGGTGTGGCCCCAGAGTGGGTTCTTTTGGATTCTGGGGCGAATGAGGTTTGCAGACCTCTGGATCCGGGTATGAACTTCGGCGATCGCAACAAGTATCTTCCATTGGATGTCACGCTAGCATCAGGAAAGGTCACGACAGGCTTCCGCTCGGCTAAGGATGGCGAAATCTTTATGCCGATGGAGGGTCATGATTGGATCGCAGGGCTCTCCAAACTTGTTGGCGCTGGGTTCAAGTTCGTGTGGGATCGGAGTGGTCCCAAGCTGATTTCTGAAGACACTGGGATCGTCACCGATGCGGTTCTGCGTAATGGGCTTCCGTATGTGAAGTGGAGCGATTTTAAAAGGGCTAGATCTAACGTATCTCGTATCTACAAGAAGGCGCCTGACTTCATGTGTGATCTGTCATTCAATGCCCACGTTCAGGAGGAGCCACCTACCATCTTAAAGGCTGGAGAACACATGGCTTTTGAGATTGAGGGAAGCGTAGAATCAACAGTCGCAGCACCAGCAGAGTTGGATCGGAAGCAGCTTCAGGAGGAGCGAGCGAAGCAAATGGCAGCAAAGAGCGATATCACAGCAAGAGACATTCTTGGCATTCTGGAGGGGACTGATTTGCGCAGACGCAATCGGCGTAGGAGTTCAGAGGGATCTGGGGATGAGAAGGTGTCAGTGTGGACGTTTGGCAAGTATCAGCATGGACCACATGGAGGGATCACAGATCTGACATGTCAGAGGCCAGAGTTGACACGATTGCTCACCCAGTTCGTGAGGCAACAGCATCCAGAACATCGTTTCACGACCATTACTGTTACGGAGGATGTTGCCTTTAGGCCCCACCGTGATAAATTCAATGCTAAGGGTTCTGTCAATCTTGCCATTGGTCTGACCAAGCATGCCGGGTTTGAGATTTGGGTTCATGATGCTTCGCTCAAAGATGATCCTAAAGCAGTGTGGCGCGTAGCTTTTCCTGGTAAGCCATCGGCTCCCGGGAGCTTGTTGAGGACTAGTGGAACGAGTTGCACTTTCAATCCCCATGACTTGCATGGCACCGAGCCTTTCACCGGACACCCGGTCATGCTCTTGGCTTACACACCTCGTATCCCAGATGAGGCGACTCCTGATGTGATTTCATGTCTGCAATCTCTGGGCTTCACACACTGGGGCACTGAAGTGAAGCAGCGATGTGGAGAGGATGAGGCGATGAATCCGCAAGCATCCGCAGTTGAGGCAAGCATCGGCAGCGAGTCAAACATCACTGAAAGCACGGACATCCACAGCCAAGCCCCCAGGGTCAGGTTAAGGGATGAGTCGTTGAGGAGTGTGGAAGTCAAGCCCATCATCGTTGAGCCACGGTTGGATAAGGTTCCATTACCCGAGGTTAAGAGAGATTCCAAGGAGGTGATTGAGCTTGATGACGATGATGGGGTTGAGCCGTGGGATGAGGATGAGTTGAACGAGTTCTTAGGGATCATAGGTTCAGGGCTTGATGACAAAGTTCCAATGGAAGCGCCCGCGGCACCCTCGGCATCTGCAGATTCAAAGCCTGCCTCATCGAGTGGTGAGCTGGGACCTTTCGCATCAGAAGCGGAGCTGAGTCTGCTCAAACAAATGCTGAAGAAGTGTCAGAAGGGCCTTTATGATTCAGATTGCACTGACTGTCATAGGGCTAGGTGGCTTCGGAGGCCATTTCGGCGACTTCGCCCAGATGAAGTGGCCAAAGGGACTTTAGCCATTGATGTGTCAGGGCCGCATACAACATCCGCGAACGGCGCGAGGTACGCTTTCATAGGTACTTTAACTCTGGAGTCAGGGGAAAGTCTGCCTTATGTGGAGCTTCTGGCGAATCGAAAGCACACTGGAATCTTGAAGGCCACGATGAGGATCATGGCCAGAATTACGTCTATGGCCGGTGGCAAACCAAGTGTCTTCCGCATACACAGTGACAATGCTCTTGAATTCTGGGCGGACAAATTCATTGATTCTCTTGAGCGCCTTGGTTTATGGGTCACCAAAACAGTCCCCCACAGTCCCCAAAGCAATGGACGAACAGAAAGGATGATCCAGCAACTGAAAGTCGAAACGGCCATATCCATGCTGCATGGAAAGCTCAGTCCTAAGCTGTGGCCCTATGCCTTACAAGAAGCAGCCTTTTACGAGGCGTGCTAAGGTTCTTGGCATCAAAGTTCCGGACGGGACGCCAAGACCTGGGGACTGGGTACTTGTCAAGCGCCAGCAGCCTGAAGCTTTCGGTGATAGAACGGTGTCAGCGGTGTATTTGGGACATGATGATTCGACGGTTAGAGGGGCTTGGGTTTTGCAGCGGCAGCAGCAGCAGGATAATACCATAATCACGCGAGCTAGACTTCCTATGCTGGACAACAAGAAGCGGACACGCTGGAAGCGAACATTCACACCGGGTGGGGAATCCATTTGGACATCAACGATTGGGGATGTTGCATTCGCGGGCATGCCCCCTGAAGATAGGGATGGTGACGTGAACATCTTGACACTGGAAGAAAGGTTGGATGGACCGGTGGATTCCGAGGCTAACCTTCAACGCGCATTGCTCATGCGAAGCCTCTATGTTGGCAGTCAGAGTGACATGTCTGAGGACGATCAGGTCGGGGAGTTCGTTCGCTTTGCGCATGGGTTTTTGTCAGCTATCCCGGATGAAGAAGATGGAGTTCCAGCTGCATCAGCTCCACCTGTGGACGCAGAGACTGTGGATGCGGGTGTGGCTGCGGCTGAGGGCGATGCCGTGTGCACTAAGGTTGCCGCTGCTCCTACCATTGAGGCGGCGCAGTCCACTCCGGAGTATGGGGGGAACACTGTAAATTGGCAGAAATACCATCTATTGTCTTATGAAGAAGAACAGCTTGCAAATCAGGTTGAAGCGAGTCTTCTTGAGGCGAGTGTGGCACCTGTTCAAGCGGAGACGGTCGACCTAAAGGGGTTCTTTCAAGGAGATCGGCAACAGCAGTGGCGTGAGTCATTGATTGCCGAGTATGCGAAGATGGATGGTGTTCTTCGTGAGGTCCCAAGGGCAGGACTGCGGAAGCACTTGAACATCTCCCCTGAGGCCAAGCTGCCCAGGGAGATTCCTTCAAAAGTTGTGCCCACAATGAAACCTTCTGACGACCCGAGGGCGAATGCAGATGGGTTCATGGAGAAAAGCCGTATCTGTGCATGTGGGAACTTCGAAGAGGGCACCGATAACAACGGGGAGCCGTGGTCGTCATCAAACATACCACCTGAAATTGTACGATGCTTTGTATCCCTAGCCGCGAAGGTTGAGGATTGGACATTGGGCGGTCTCGACGTCGAGGCGGCCTTTCTCAACGCGGAGATTTCCGGGGACCCCGTGATAATTACTCCGCCGAAGATAATGAGAGACCTAGGAATTATTGCAGAAAACACTGTGCGGGTGGCGGAACGCAATATCTACAGACTTCGACGTGGACCGACAGAATGGGAGCGAGAACGCGACCACAAGCTCAACCATGCGGAACTGCCTCCGGGTGATGGAGACAAACTTGGAGCACTGCATTTGGTCCCTTTGAATCTGGCAGCAGGATTGTGGAAGATCGTTGACGGCGCGGGCGTGACCAGAGGGGCATGCTGTGCGCACGTTGACGACGGACTCATTGTGGGCGGCATTGACATGATCAGACGGGTCACGGCCTTCATTCAGAGTTTGTGGGCTATAAAGGGGCACTGCATTCTTGAGAAGCCGGGGGTAGGCCTAAGCAAGGACCTGGTTGTGAGTGAAAGCCTGACTTTGAAGCTTGTTCAGTGCATGCGATTCCTCGGTGCAGAGATTTCTGTGGCGAGCGATGGATTGCGTATTGGACAGGCGAAATATGTAGCTCAAGAACTTCGCGCTCGAGGGTGGCTCGCGCTCAAAGGCGCAGAATCTTTGCCGGTACCATCAGAGGGTCTTCAAGGGTCTGATATCCGCGACAATGCGTTCGAAAACAACATGAAGCTGGCTCAGAAGGAGGCTGGTACCTTGACGTGGATTGCACTTCGGTCTAGACCGGACATTGCTGCTTGCTTAGGTGTTGCTTCAACTCTGATTACATCGAGGCCTTCCGAAAGCCTCCGTTTGTGCAAGGGGATTTGGCGATACTTGAGAAGCACCTGGAATAAGACTTTGCACTATCGCTACGGTGGTGGTCCTGTGAGTCCCGGGGGCAGTGATGCAGATGCGGAGTGGACTTTCCGCATCGTCTCAGATGCGTCCTTGGCGCCTGGTGGCGCACGGTCACGAAGCGGAATCGCTCTGTTCTTAGGTGATCATCTGGTGTACTGGAGATCGCAGCGGCAGTCAATTGTGGCTTGGTCAGCGACTGAGTCCGAGATCGAGGCTACCGCAGCAGCGATTCAGGAAGGAATCAAGATACACGCAGTGCTTGAGGAGTTGCTTGCATGTAAGATTCACATCATTGCCAACGGCGACAATGCTGGGGCGATTCACTTGATCACTCGGGAGCGCTTTCACGAACAGACTATGCGCAAGACATTTCGCGATTCGTTGTGCATACATCAGGGATTTGGTGTGGCTGCACAGCATTGAGGTTCAGCATCGTGGAACAACCGAGCTCGAAGCCGACGGACTTACTAAGGTCCTGGGAAAAGCGAAGCTGGCTGTGGCACGCACGCAGCTGCGGATCACGTAGTGGGCAGGTCGATGATATCCGTTCTGCTCATAATCTTCTGGCATTTGGCCCACTCTCAGGAGTGGCACGTTCTTTTGCAACATGGGCTCCGAAGGAATAGTCCAGGGTCTATGTTTGGGTAGGAAGGCGCAGCAGGTTCCCACTGGGGATAAGAACAGAATCAAGATGCCCGAAAGAAGAAAGACAAGAGGCCATAGGCTGGTCCATCAAACCCCAACGGGCCTGGGGAGTACGCTGTTGCTTCATCCTTTATGCACCGGTAGTTCTTTTTTCCTAGTTTGGAGATCTGGCCATGTTTGAGTCTCAGCACGTGCGAGCGCGCACATGCCGAGAAGGAGGAGTGTGGAAAGTAGGCCAGATGCTCCGTGATGTTCAGCTAATGCTCATGATGGTCGAAGCACTCATCTACGAAGTATGGCTGTAATTCAAGTTGCAAATCTTCTCAGTGTGCGCATGGCCCCTGCTCAGGATGACACGCACTACTGAGGTGTCTGGCATGGCATGGCCCCTGCTAAGGATGACACGCTTTTCGAGACGCACTTGAAGGTGCGATAATCGTTGTGAATTGGCTCAAGTGAGCATCCAAGCGAGAACCAGGAGTTTGAAAGACTCAGCCCTCTCTGCCAGCTCGGCAGAGCAGGGCATGATTAGGGTCAGGGTTCACTTCGGAGCTTGTTCGTGGAGGCGGGGTAGCTTTCAAGGTGTCAGGTCAAGAAGGCGAGAGGCTTGGGAATCAGGTGAAGTTTGTAAGTAATGAACTCCCCTGCCCCAACCCACTTTAGTATGGTGACGGACTCTCACTCACCAGATCAGCTTCACAACGGATAAACCCGCACCTGCCGTGACTATCGAGCGCGCCAGCCCGCCCCGCAGCGTTCGTCAATGATGCAGCACAAAAACACTGATACCGTACAGCCCAGAAGCCACAGCAGCAGAGCCAATACGGCCAGGAGGATGCTGGAGCTTTCCTCAAGACTATTGCGCGAGTAAGCGGGTCGGTGGGCCTTGCGACGTTTACATGGGTAAAGAAGACTAGTGCTGAAGTTCAGAAGTACCAGCTCATCTGAACGGGAAATACACAAATCAAGGTTCGGCACAAGTCTTGCCCACCTTCGTCAGTTCCGAACCCAATCTATGTATCCTAGCCCAAGCTGAGTCGAACCACTGGAAAACACAAGCACTCCCTTATTGTTAGATCCGCCACTGAGGCGACGAAGGACCGCACGGCGGCAGCAAACAGCAGGGCAGAAGCAGAGCGAAGATGCCACACCTGTCACCGGTAACAAGGCACCAAGAGTATATCAGTGTGGACTGGGCCTTCTCACGGCCAAAAGTGTGTAACAGTTGTCGAATCAAAGCAGTTCATGGGTACCTCCAGCGTCAACCCAGCCATTGCTGCATGGCTCAAGCGTGCGACAGGGCTTTTATGTCGCTAAGGGAAAAAGACTACGGGCCCAAGGTTTGGGTTCGGCAAGGAATTGGGCCTGTGGCCTTTGGCAGGTAAGGCTTCGTGCTGATAGCAGAGTTTCGCGATTCATGGCCTTGCTGCCAGCTCTTCGGAACCCGTGAGACTACTTTTGGGCTTTGGCAGGTCATCTCGACATCCGGATCTCTTGCTTCGGTCATATCTGTGTCCCTAGGAAGCTTGGAGGCTCCTAGCCTTCTTCCAGAAATCTGCTGAAGCCATTCAGGCACAAAGCTATCGGACGTCGCAAAATTCGTCTGGCCGTCAGGCTCAACCGATGCTCAGCCAGTGCAGCTGTAGAACACAAACAGTTGGTATCAACAAAGCAGAAGCTGCAAAAGGCGGTGGCAAGACGAGCCACACAAGGTCAACCGTGTCTTTCTTGCGTGTCATAGCAATCAACCGATCATTTCGACCCGGTGGTGGGGCCATTCTAGCCCCCACTTCGCGAGAGCATGTTTTAAGCGCGCCGTTCGACTGTCCCGTCCTGGGACTCCTAGGACAGCACCATGCATTGCGCTCTCTCGCTGCTTGCAGGATGTATTGCAGTCTGTCCCCAAGTACTTGGCTAGTGGCTTCCAAAGTCCTCCAAGCAGGAAAGCTCGCACGCGCGGGTGCACGGCGGCTCTAAATTCCGATTTTGCAGTGGCAAGCCTTCGATTTCAACCCGAGCCCCTAGTTCTCTGAACGTGTTGTCGTTGATGCACACCCGATTTTGAGAACATGGCAATGTAAAGCCTTCCGGTCTGACGGCCAAAGCTTCAGACAAGAGTTATGTGCTCTTCACACAGAAGCTGAGCTAGCGTTTGCAGCCCTTGCAGTTGCTTTGTGCCCAAGGGCTGGGCCAAGAGCCCCCCAGACTCGTACCTTCTGGTACCACCTGTAAGTTCATCAAAGAGGTGATATGCTTGTGGTCAAGGTTGTGTCTTAGCTCATCTCTTACTAGAAACCGAGTGGTTGTGCATAGCGATGGGTGCGACCACACAGGGCCTTGCAATCTGTGTCTTTGCATTGATGCTACACGTGCCGCAACTCACTAAGTACTGACCAGACAATGAGAGTGCTGACCTGCACTGGTAGCTGGACCTGGGTCTTTCCGGAGCTCTTGTTCAAAAGGAAACTTCCGCCCCTGCTGATGGGCTCGCAGCTGCAGCTTCAGCCGCATCATCGTCCTCCTTTGCATCCTGGCAAGATCGGGGGACATGCGAGGTTCTCTCAGGCAGAAGCTCAATCGAGTCAATGTCGGGCTTAAGCCCTGGCGTTCTTGCTTGAGGCTCAGAGGCCGGGCTGAGGTGGGCTGTTCTGTGTCAGACGCTTTAATCGCCAGCTGTGATGTTCACCATCTGGACTGCGTGATACTGCATGTAAGAGCCTCGTTGACTTCTTCATCTCGGAGGGCTCTGATGACACATAGCATGCGCAAGTCGGTGAGGTGCTCCTGCATCAGCACAGTGTTTAGCATCTCGGCGAGACTTGAATTCAAGACTCCTGGCCTCACCCCCTTGCGCGTCGAAGTCTTGCCAAACTTGCATTAGCCCAAACGCTTTTAAGCTTGGGGCACCTTGAGACTCGCCTGCTGGGCCGGGCTCATTGCAGAGAGCCTCAACCAACGGTGGGGCGCCGCGGATCTGGTGGGGATTGAGCTAATTCTGCTTGTTTGTGTGCCACTTTGTGTCAGTCGTGCCCTCACATTCTCAGTATTGCCATGTGAAGCTGTCGACCCCTTGCGCATCGGATGTTTCGTCTTGGTAGTTGGAGCATTAGGCACGTTCACTCAGCAATTACTAAATAAAGAATTACTGCTTGTCTTGGAGAGTGAGGTAGAATTCCCCACATAGTGTCTGCATAACACGAAAGGAATTTGCAGCATAATTCAAAGGCAACCTTCTAACCAAATCCGGTACATGTGCAAACAAATGCCAAACTGTGATTCCAAGCAGCGCGACCTCAGCTGTTTAGATCTACCAAGGTGCTCTGAAGAGCTTTCAAGTCTGGCGAAGGCAGGACGCATGTCCGAAGTCTCCAGCGCCGGCGAATCCTCAAATTTGAAGATCAGGATGCGGGACAACTCTCGCATCGTCTCGGCAGTTCAAGAAGTCTTCAGCAATAGGAAACTGTGAGTCCTGGTTGAGCTTCTCTTCTTGTGCAAGGCAGGGGTACATGTGGGGCAAAGCCGCAATGAGACAGGGAATGACCCAGAATCCAGTAAGTGGCTTTGGCGATGTCTTGCACACTACCTAAGGCTCGCACTTTGGTCAGAACTTTGAAGACCTCAGCCATGCGTTGCATGTGATGCGCCGAATGCACGAGCCGAGCATGAAGATGGTTGAGCTACGCCAGCCGTGTCCGTGATGTTGCTTGTGGTCACAACCCACCGACAGCACGTTCGTGCCCAAGAATCACGTCTGACCGCACCAAACCGTGGCACACGCACCAGCATCCACGGGCATCCGAGCACCAGAGAATCTAGGCGGCAATCATGATAACGTCAGCGCAGACCCTTTGGCAGATCTTCCATGGCCTGGCCATGATAACGTCCACCCAGATCCCCTCCGGGCACCTGATGTGCTACGCGTGGCAGAACTTGTGACAAACCCAGTCGTTCTTGCAATGTTAAACCTTGCCATAGGACCTGTGAGAATCATCGACATGAGCACTGTCTTCGGCGGAAAGATCTTTGTAGCTGCCAGGTCTTAATTCGGAAGAACCCTTCTTTGCCGAACAACAACAACAAAATGTTGCGTGCACCGGTACTGTCCCTGCTTTGAAACATTTGGAGGTGTCCTTGATCTCACGAGGATCAGGCTTCGCTGACTTGGTCGCAGAAGTGATTCTTGCGCGCAAACGCGCCGTCTGTGCGTCTTTCCCACTTGTGAGATGGCTCACCATCATGAAGCCAGGACAACATAAACGTGCACGAACTCCTGTACACTTCACGCACCTGACCACAATCAACAGGATTCGATCCGCCTAAACAAGCTCTCTCAAGCCCCAGGTGCTGTTTCGTCCAGCTCCTGCAGCACTGCAAGCACCGATTCTGGTTCTTGCAGTGATTCCTGCAATCAAAAGGTGCAGTTGCACTCCGACTCCCGTGGTTTGACTATCATTATGCCACATTCGCCCAGAAAGTTGTGGCAGGAATCATCAACCTGATTCTGCTCTCAATCCCGGTGAGAAGAATATGTCGGACGATCTGTTCAAAACTGCTTCTCGTCCCATGCCGGGCCTTGCCATCCTTGCACTTGCCGGCGCATTTTGTCACCAGGTCGTCATCCGAGGGCAGAAAGAAGGAAGCCGCTCGGAAAACCTTGGCATGGTGCATTCCAAGCTGATGCGAGAGAATGCCTCAGACTCAAGCCTCACTTCGAAAAGATCTACGAAGCCGAAAGTTGATCCACCACGGCCACAGCCACAGCGATTGCAAGATAAGAGAAGTTCCGAAACGCACCCCATCAGCCCGTCGGCTGCGGTCTATGCAGCTGGGCTGCCAAGCAGGAGAAGAGCTCCCTGGGCTGTCAAACTGCGATGAGCAATTTGTCTTAGTGTCGCTTCCTTGCTCTCGCTGACTGGTTGCTGAAGATCTGCTTTTGTGCAGGCATCTCTCTTTGACAGCTTGGAGAAGGGAGTCCGTGAACCACGCTTGCAGCAACAAGTGTCCCCCACCTGAACTCTACCAAAGCCACGGCACCATTCAGGGAGCTGGTCGATCACTGCCAGGAGCTCCCTTCCACAGGTTGTTTTGCTTGTGTGCTTTTTCATTTGAGGTGCTCGTTTTGTTGCAGTTAGTTAGCTCCAAGCATTGCTTCGGGGATATCCGTCGGGTTCTTCAGGGGGGTTAGCTGTGATACTGTTCTGACTATACAAGACCTTGGATTGATTGACCAATGTGATTCGAGAAAATCAAAAGCATCGACACAGGATTGAATCGTATGCAGCTTCGCTTTTAGCTACTGAGTTGGACTGCTGCGGTTTTGTATCGATGGCATCAGTACGTGACTTTCGCTAAGTTAACTTTTCTTCCAGCAATAGTTTATCCCTTCCAGGTCAGGACCTCCGGTGCTACCCATGTTGCGATTGCGGCACATCAGGGTAACTAAGAACCTTGCCTGGATTATGGCACAGTTCCTAGGACCACTGGGCAGGTCGTCTGCATCCTGACAGCTCTGAAAACCTAAGGACTGCAATCCAAATTCAACAAATGTAGACCTTCTCGTCGCAATTTAGCCCTCAAGCTCTCAAGGGGCAAATTATATTGCAGACATGCCAGGTCTGGCCTAGCAGCAACCTTCTCTTCCTGTGCATATTTCCGGGCTCGGTCAACGCTCCTGTTTGCTCTGCGTGTTGGGGCCCATGCTGGAGCTGGGGATGATGCTACTTCTTCGTATTCCTACTGTCCTACCCGGGCAATGGAGTCCGACGGATCAAGGGGAAACTTCTGATGACTGAGTGATAGCACCGCTTAGACTGACTAAGCCCGGATGACCATCCTTGAGCTGTGATTCCGTTGTTCAAAGACGGGACTGCCCGCTTCACGCCGCCCTTGTCCCTGACGAAACACTTTTGTGGCGACCAGCCTTCCTACACCGAGACCTGTTGTGCAAAGGTCGCACGGTTCGTACCGCACGGTTCGTACTCAAAGCACAGTGTTCGGTGAGAACGAAACTTCCTTCGCGTGACGGCGTATGGCGAACATTTTCCCTAGCATAGCCATGCACACACCATGCTCGAAGTCATGAACCCTCAAGTCATGAAGCGAAAAGTCTCTCGGAAACTGTGAACCCTATCAGTCATAGCCGTTAACAGCCCGAGGCCGTGGCTGATCTGTGAAGTTGAGCAAGATCTCAGCCCAGGGCTGAACTCGCACGTGTCAAACCCCGTGACAGGCTACAGCAAGGATTGAGCGCACAAGCAGACACAGGGGCATGCCGAGCAACTAATTACCATCATGGGATACAAAAGCCTTATTCCAGCCAGTGTCTCTCGGCTCTGGCGAATCGTTGTCGATGACCTTACGGCGTCAATGTCACTGAGTCTTTAGATGGGTAGACTTGACTTCTGCATGCTTAGAGTTGACTACTGTGGTGCTTCTAATGCCAGTGAGAGGTTCTGTCGAAGGTTGCACCGAAAAGCCCTGCAAGCATGGGCCCCGACGATGAAGTGATCAACCTTCACTTCCGTGGCAGCCTCACCGCTGCCGTCATCTGTGGGCCGCTGCCCCAGCTTCAGGGACTTGAGCATCCTGGGAGCTAATGCTGTGATGAGAGGAAGCTCGTTGCGGCTGCAACCCTCCCGCTTCTCTGTCGAGGGTGACGTCAATCTATGCTCGGGTGCCGGGGCTCTTGGCTGTCGATACGAGGGAAGCTAGGAGTATGACATCATGAGAATTCGGACTTCGCACATACCTTGGAGGGACCATTAAGGCTGGTAGAAACGAAGAAACCAGCGAAGCAAAGCTGCTCTTCCCTTCACATGCGGAGGCTCTCCAATGCTGAGCAGGCGCCGGGAGATGTTCGACTCCGCCTGCTGGGCATGGAAATGCCTGAGCTCAGCTCTGCGTACGCCGGCACTGTATTGTGATTATCAGGCTGCACCCGCTGCATTGATTTGCTGCAGGCAAGAAGCAGATTCACTAGGTTGGCGTCCACATTGCCACCAAGAAGTCCTTGCTCGTGCGGAGAGGTAGGCATAACAGTGTTTAAGGCAAATGCTGGTTCGTAATTGCTCCGTCTCGCAACCCTGACATTTCAACCTAGGGGACCTTGTGCTCAGAACGGAATGCTGCTGGGCCACTCACAGAGATTATAATGGATAATTTGACTAAGCCAAGGAACTTTTGTTTTCACGTTCCTGGCGATGCCGGTTCTGTTGTCGGGCATGCCGTGCTTCCTTCGCAGCAGTTCTGGGCTGGGAAAGCGCTGGCACAGGGTGACAGCGTGGATCTGAGAGGCTAGCGCTGAGTTGGAGGTATGCCTTGTGTTCTGACTATTTAAGTCGGAGCTTTGCTCTCCCTTGCTTCGCGCAGCCGAGAAGTCAGAACCGGAGACTCCTGGCTGGCATATGGCCAGAAACCCACCACTCGGAGCGGCATGTGAGCGACGGGCGTGACACCTCAGGCTTGCACTGAACAAGAGAACCCTACCCCTGGCCCTCGAAACCTCGCAAAAACGATTCTCTGTTGCAAATGCCGTGGCTTGAGTGTGCCAACTCCAGGATCTGCATTGTTCGGTCGATAGCGGCCCCTGCCATCACCGACGAGTAGTACCTTGTGCGTTTGGCATCTTCAACCAGAGCAACACTCTCAGTGGCTAATTGGTTGTAAATGGTCAGCTCGATCTGCTGCATACGGACGACCACACTTCTAGTCGGTCCCTGACCACTGCCACCTCTCAATCAAAGCCGGGTCAGGATACACGGCGAGCTCGGGAGCGTCAACAATTGTGACCTGCCATTATAACAAGTTTGAGTCAGGAGATCCATTAATCTGAGCATGGAGCACTAGCCGGCCACTAGACATCGCAAGACCATTTGCCAACTCCTTTGATGGGTTCAAGCAAACCCTGAGCTTTCGAGGACTGGCAGTCCCTCTTGCAAAGCGTGTCGGCGCGGGCCTTGATGACGTCCCATGCCAGGGAATCTCTGACAGGCCCTGAGCTCCAGCTGAGGTCAGAGCCCAAGCACTCAGCTCACAAAGCTCTCACGGCATGAGCATACGGCTGAGATATGGAACCCGACTGGAACCAGCTAGTGAAGTTACGCGACACAAGAGCGCGATCCAAACGCGTTGGAGGCAGTGCTGTTCAAAGTCACGGTTCCGTGATGAAACATCGCATAGGTGAGCCATTGCATTGCCCACGCGATGGCGCTCTTGTACTCAGTCGACTTGCCTCTCAGGGCTTTGACCTGAGGCTGGGCCGGCATAATGGTGGATGTAGTGTGCTCGATTGAAGTCGCTTCCAGTCACCGGTGAAAAGAACTCCATGCGGGTATATGCGGGCTGGTTCCTGACGTTCGGTCTCTGCATGATCGAACGTCCCGAACCGGTTCGTGGCCGTTTTGGTTGTTTCTTTGGGCTCTCCTGTGCTGTCGAGTCTTTGATTCAGCGATGCTTCACGTCACCACAGCTGCAACTTCAAGCATGGACTACTGTATTGTTGCATGGATACCGAAACGCCAGAGCTCAAATCCTCAACGCTATTCAGCTGGAGGAAAGCGGCCGCCCAATCCAAGTCCATTGATGCCGTGTCCTTCTGAGCCAGGCGCATCCTTTGCTTTGCCGGGTAATGCTGCTTCCCTCAATTTCTCACAGCATAGCCAGGGCAACGCGCTCAAGATCATCACGCCGACTTGTCGGAAGGAGACATTTTTGCCACTCGTGCTCGACAAGTCAGACGAGGTTTACCGGAAGGAGACATACGGTTCGAGGGATGGTGCGAAGCTTTCAGCTTTCAGGACGGGAGTAGGCTAACACTCTCACGAAGATTTAGAATATTTCCGGTTAGGGCGAAGACAGACCAAGTGCCCCTAGGTGAATCGTGTCTGCAGAAGAAAACATCTCCGGCAGCTGCTTTTCTTATCACGTGCACTGAGAACATATGTCGCTGTGTGCTCCTCGGAAAAATCACCTGCTGACCACTGCTCCCTAAGTCAAGCAGCATCCTTTTCCAGAGGGCTCCTCCGGCCTGAAAGCTCTGGGATGATCCAACTGCTCGCCGGGGCAGACACTCGAGTCCTGCCTGGTGTTCTTTGGGAAGGCCCACTGCTACGCTGAACTGCTCGCGGAAGCCCGGCATGCAGTCCTGGGGTTGCCATGCGTCCGAAGTCTTCATGATGGACTCCAAAGGCTTACATACGAGATTACAGCTGGCTTTCGGGCGGCTGTTCTATCGACGCTGTGCCACCTAGGGTTGTTCCCGAACTGTCCCAAGTACCACGATTGTCTCGAGCAAAGAAAGTTTCACCGCGTTGTTGAACCCGAAGACGGCCCAGTTGTGACGAGGATCGCAAAGATTGTCATTGTTGACCTCCTCCCTGTATTTTAGGGAGTGGGCCTTGGCTGTGCAGGACATCGAACCCTGCATTTCTGTCAGGTGCAGCTAGATTTGCTGCTCTTGGCTTCCATCCGGAACAAGCTGAACGGCTGCCGAACAAAATCGTGTCAATGCTACCGTGAGCTGGCTTACCAATTTGTGCCTCTGATGTTCTGCCATGTTGCAGTATTTCTCACAGCGTGCGGAACCTGAAAAACTGCGCTCATGCCACATCTTGAAGCGCGTATTTCACAAGCCATGACGACTTCAATGAGAGTAGTGTCGGTACGACGAAGCCCATCTCATTCCAACCTGATTCCGAAGACGGCTTAGCTGCAAAGTGCTTTCCTGTAACATCCTTCGGCTACTGTAATTACAGAGCAAGCAGGGTCCTGGCGGGTATGTTGGCTCAGTGGCCACCCAAACCGCTGAGGCGTAGATCAAGGGCTTCCGATCTCTGCGCTCAGGCTCAAACCCTAATCGCCAACCTATCCACAAACTCAATCAAACTCACAGGCCTGCTCGGGTGGCAAACGCTGGATGGAGCTTTTGCCCGCGGCCGGTGGCCCCAGCAGCATGACTATTTCCTCATCTTCGACGCATGTGAGGGGTCGAGCTTTGGACATCCCTGCACACATACATAATATACTGGGCTACCGTGGCAAGGAATGTGATCGCATGTGGTGGCAAGCAGTGTGGAGCGCAGCAGCACTCGCCTTGTCCTAAGCAGGAATCAGCTCGAGATCTGCTTGGGGACTTCATCATGGCCATACGATGAAAAAACTTGGCCACCATATTATGGCATCCCTTCCAGCAGATCAGTCCTCTCTTTGCCATGTTGAAAACCGCACCCCCCCTTGCAGCTATGGCTGTGTCTATTCTGGTTGTACTTCCAAAAACTCAGACGACTCTTGCGGGTGCTTCAACTGTGGAAGTTGATTCAAGCTTCAAACCATTACATCTTTTCAGTGGTGCCAATGTGGTGGCCTGGTAATTCGACAATTGTGCATTGGAAGCTTGCCCCACTAGCAAAGCCAGCAAAGATGCCGGAGCGGGGATGTTGCCATTGCATTCTATCCGCTTCTCGTAGCAGCGCTTCACGAACTCGCTGAGGCCCAGATTCCTGTCATGAAGGCTCGTCACGGCAAGTGAGGATTTGGGCATCTCCGACTGGACACGTGCGCCCAGTCTCATTGAAAGCCCGCGACGAGTTGCACAATCGCCTGTTAGAGTTAAACAACCATACCATCGATCAGCGCCAGAAACGCATGAGACGGAGGATTCACGCTTCAAAGAACAAACAAATCTTTTCAGTGTGTGGATCTGTGCAAGCATGATGCCAACAACTGCTCGTCTGCAGTTCGAGGCTCTTAATACTGGGGTGGACGAAGACACAGCGCATTGGGTATTGCGGCTCCTCCCGGCATTTCCTGGCTTGTGGCAAGGAGTCCCATGCGCGACACTTTGCTCTGCCCCAGTAGGCGTCTGCAACACAAATAATGGTAAGTACCAGAAATGAAACAGCAACAGACAGCCACAGGACAGACCGAGAGTCTGAACCCATCGCAGTCGTTGGGTGGTTTTGTGCTCGGACAGCACGAATGCCTTCAGGGCGAATTTGAGGTGCTTGCCATGTTCTTTATTCTGTTGCCTGCGCTACCGCGGAAACTTTCGCTTCTTCACAACATCGATCACGGTTCTGGTCCTTCGAGAGATGATCCACAAGACAGCCACCACGGCCTGACACAGGGAATCGGGGGTGGAAAGCAGGAGGAATGCACACGATGCTTCTGTTGCAGACCTGAACAGCGCGCAGACTGAATGCCCCGAACCAGCCTGGTTGAAGCCCTGCGAACTCTTCCTGGCACTCCTGGTGGCTTAGGCATTTTACGCTTGATAAGATCCAGGATTGCAGTCGGTTCAGTCAGAAGTGAACAGCAAACCGTCAGTTTGAACCAGAAGCGAAGTCTCAGTCAACCCAAATACATCCCTAACTGGTCATCATGGTCACAGCTCGGTACAGGGCGGCTCGGCAGTGAAACTTGCTTTCTGTGCTTCAAAGTGAATCTCCTCATGCGGCGTGAAGAGCATGCCGACATCTTGTGGCACATCGACCCCAGCAAGACCGTCTACGCCTCGCAAGTGGTTTGGGATTTCAGAATCTCACATCTTGGACACATTTATGACACTCGAGCGGCCCAAACCCAAAGGCAATGCACAAGGAACCAGAAACTCTTGATAAGCAGTGTGCGTCTTCGGGTTGGCAGGACACTTTCATATGTTGTATATACTGCTGCCTTCCATCAAGAATCTTCCAGGATACGCCTGGTAAAGTCCAGAACATCAACCCTTCAGGCACCAGTCCTTGCAGTGGCAGATAGCTGTCGGCATCCTCGGGCCTCAGCTTTCGGTGCCGCCTGCTTCCGACTGCAAGTCTCTCCACCTTTGGGTCGCAGGCTGCCGGGTGCCGACGATGGCTGAGACCCACTCGTCGTCTTTCAAGAGCCTGCAGCCATAAGTTTGCAGGATTCGGGAAGTATGATCAAGGAGCCTACTGCCTTTTCATCATGCTGCTGCTCCAAGCCCCCGGTTTGTGGGGTTTGCAAGTGTCGGACCGGACCGATCCTTTACAATTTGTTTTGTCCTGGTCTTCTAACCTGAAGGACTGAAGGGCTATCCTCCAACGCATCTGAAGGGTGGAGTGTTGGCGGGTGTAAACCGTTTTTCATGGAGAACTCTGAGGAGTGGGAAGCATGTCCAGGGATCTGGCACCTACATGTGAATGGTTGCACGGCAGCGGCAGGGCTCAGGTTCTTGATGTCGCAGCATTGAACTCAGACCATCCACCCATCTGCGGCAACTAGCTCTGGTGTCCATTTTCTCTGTGACTGTGCAATCAAGCAAAGTCCAGCAACGGTGCTTAGGCCAGGTGTTAGGCGAAACCCACTCAGTAGCTACTTCCCGTGTTGCCGCTTCTGTGAAATCTCCCCAACACGGACATCCGGCCTTAGAAAGATGCGCCGACCGGCCTGCTGCCACTCCTGCTGCTTCTGTGGGCCGTTGTACGCAAATAAAGACATATCTACCCCCATGCACACCTTGAGAACGACTGAGCTTACAGGTTTATCTCGCAACACCAGCTTGCCAGCAGAGGCACTTGCAAACTGCCTGTATGGCGGATGCCTTCAACATAATCGTCATCTGTATGCGCGGTCCTTGCCATATGGTGCCAGCCATCCATCGTCTTTCGCAGCTGCAACCCACGAAAGGGCCTTGGCGGTGGGGGGACCTTCCCTTCTGAAAGGCCTATAGATCCTCGCAGCCAGCGGGCTGGTTAAAATGCAGAGACCGAGTGCTAGCCGCTGTTGGCCGTCATGCACAAGTGGAATCTCCTAGACTCCCAGACTGTAGCTGAAAGGACTATTCTTGCCGTGCTTTGCAAAAGCTGGCAATGATCCCATGGTCTCCGTGAATGGTCAGAAAAGCATGTCCAAGGATTTGGCATCAAATGATGCAGCAGCTGATCAGTACATTTGGATTGCAACTTGCATTTCGGAAACCAAGCTGCTGTGGCGTCGTACGACTTGCCGTCGCAGCCCAGAACAGCCAATGGATTTGTAGAGGTCACTGCTCCGTAAATATACCTTGATCGATGGGGCGAGCCGACATGGGTCGCTAACCCGTGGCAAAAATCGACACACACACACACACACAAAAGTCGAGCATGCTGCGCCGAAGGAAGATGGGGCAGATGTAGGTACAACGGTATTGTTTGCAACTCCTTGCCATACCATGTGGATGAACATGATTATCCCGGTGACATGTCTCACTGTGTTTCCAGGATGCTTAATCATTGAACAAGAATTGCATGCTGCAGTTCATACAAGAACATGCGAAAGCAAGAACTCTGCGCCACCGCCCGGTCACTGTGCCGGCCCGCTCATGTTCAGGCGGGCGATCACTGCAGATCCCGTGGATAATCCAGTCTCCACGAACTTGGAGTCTGCTGCAGATCGGCCGTTGCAGGCAAACTTGATGCCGTTGCTCGCCTCAGCATGAGGTATCATGAAGTCAGACAACGTGATGCGTGTCTCAAAAAGCCGGATACTTCTTAGAGCAAGCGTAGCAGAACTGATTGATAACCTTTATGTCAATCAGTGACCGCCTCTCTTCTTGGGTCCTGCATGTTGATAGGCTCATTAGATTCTCATCTTTGGAATCGGTGACACTAGCTGAAAGCTGGTTTGAAGCACCATAAGGGTTGTGGCTTCTTCAAGGGCTTGGGCCTTCCTGGGCTGTGGGGCTTGTGAGAGTATTTCGCGGATCGGGTAGGACTCGTTTGTCAAAGACCCTTTGTCCACAGCCCCACACGTACAAGTCTGATCCGCTCCTGGCAACGAGGAAACTAGGATGACTGGAATAGTGCAATCGAAGCCCTGCTAAGGCTGCTAAGAGAATAAGTTTTCATCGGAGGCTTATACCAGCTGTGGATTGTGCTGCCGAACTGGTGATAAGCATGACACCCACTGACACCTTGCCGCGGTGCGCTTGCTGCGCGAGGTCGCGCAGAGCAGCAGAGCACCATCGCATTCTGAAATGCCTTGTTTGCAGTACGCCAGGTGTGAGAGTAGCCCGGCGGAATGATGTGAACCAGAAGGTGGCCTACTACAGCACGTGCACACCTGGGCACCCTGCAAGACAAATCATTGTGCACATTGTCGACAGTGAGGCTTCTAGTAGCGCTCGAAACGAGCTGATCGGGTCAACCGTACTTCTGTAAAGGCTACCAAAGCCCAGAGTAGAATGCTTCCTTCTCTGCAACTTGTGGCTTGAAAGACATCTTTGCAACTCTCGACTCAAGAACCACCCACCACCGGTATCTCGGCAGCCTGCCTGCATGAGTGCCAACTGCTCGGGCGGGAGCTGCCCACAGGCTCCCGCCCCTCGATTCGCAGCCCTTGAAGCATTCGTGCAGCGGAGCTCGAAGATCCAAAGCAGTAGCTAGTCAGCTGGAGCTCACAGGACTAAAAGTGACCCTTCAGGAACCAAGTCCTTGGAGTGCTCAGTGCCCTGTGGTGCATATCAGAAAGGTAACTACGCGAATTTATGGATCTACAGGCAAGCACACTTACTGGCTCTTGCTGTTCTTGCTGCAGTGTCAGTTTCGCTGTCTTCCAGCGACTTTCCTATCAAAGCGTCCAAGGGATTCAGGTTGACCAAGTGAGCCCGCCGTCATGGGCAAAGGGTTGATAAGTTCCTGGCACATCCGGATGGATGCACACAAGAACGCATGTGAAAAAAATGGTCACAGCCTAGGGCCTAGGGCTGACCAATTTCTTGAGCTAAGCTCAACCCCCGATCGATGGGTTCTCTTCCAGGTAGTAGTGCAGCATGCTAGGCTGCTAGACACATGCTGCAAGCAGCGGATACATATACATACATTACACAAACATATACATATACACATGTACATATGGCTGGTTTGAACAACTTGGGGTGCGTATTGGCATGACGTCGGCTTTGAAAGCCCAGGTCTGTCAGCCAATGCTACAACGAAAGTCAACGTCAAACCGACTGCAGATCTTTGCTTCATCAATGAGCAGGCACTTGCCAAGATTTCTGGCGAATTTGATTGTGCATATAGACACGGCTCTGATGCCCTTCATTCGTTGAGTCTGTAGTTGGCCATTGCTAGGGCTGCCAGGGGAGATCAAGTGTCATGTTTCTTTGCAATTACATTGCATCAGCCGTGGCTCCATGGGACAGCCCGGAAGGCTCACGGATACTTCTCGGGCGCAGGCAGGTATGAGTGCTTACGGATCCGTTGAAACTGGCAGCCTTCCATGATTGCCTTGCGCCCCATGGACTCACTCAGCGCAAAATGTTCTCAAGTTGAATTCGCTATAAGGGTGAAACTCCAGTGGGACTTCGCGGCCTCATGCATTTGGTTGATGCTTCGGGTCTTGGTCATGCAGTACCAGTAGCTTCCACAGAGGAACTTCTTGGAGCTCCTTTCGCACATGCACTGAGGGACCCACTGTTCGGAAACAGTTCTTTGACCACCAGGAGGGGGGCAACGATAAGAAGGTACTTCTACGAGTACTGCTCTGGAAATCGCACGCACAAAGCATCATCGGGCACGTTCAAGATGCCTCTCTCTGGTTGTCCTTGCCCCGACATGCGAAGGTACAACAGTCGACGGCTTGCCGAATTTTTCAGTTCAGAATTCCAGCGCCGTCGGCTTCTCAGACAGTCTACGAAGATCGAGCCTGTGCATGGGTCTTCGCAAAGCTGGGCTAACACATGCCAATAAAAGTTCCTTGAAGCACAGCCCTGCATCTCCAGCCTGATCCTCTGTCGGGAAAAACTCTCCAAATTTCAACGTGTCCTGAGCAGACGTGCGCGGCGACCGATAGTCGTGTCGCTGCGCGGATCAGCCATGAAAGATGGCTGCTGAGGGAAGGCACCACATGCAAGTCACCCGTGCAGGCCACGCCGAGCTCGGTCTTCTCATCTCAATGGTGTTTCGATCTCATCTCAAATTCTAAGGCCTGTAATAGATTTTCGCAGTTAAGGTGGTGCCCGCAGGAAAGACTTCATCACCTGTGTAGAATCAACTAACTGCGAACATCACCGCCAACAAACTGACTGCTGGCCAGCGGCATACATCTCCTGAGGGACAACACGCCGATCACCGTTAACATCCAATCCTTTCTGGGCATAGCGCGCCTGCTTCTCCTTAAAATGCCAAAGTCTGGATAGGCAGCACTGTGCAACACAGGAGCACGGGTCTTCCTTTCAATACGCAAACTACACTTCAGCGATTCAGTCTCCAGTGGCATCAGCTCAGTAGGTATGTGCATTCAGTCTGGAGGGCAATGGTCATGACGGATGTGTTGGCCAGGGACAGTCACAGGGCCAAAAAATGTAAAGGGCTGTTGCGACAACAGGCAGAGAACAGGCGGAGAACTTCCGACATGACTGGAAGCCCATGTGCCTTTCGTCAAGAGAAAGCACCATGCCAAAGCACCCCTGTTGCACGGCCCTGCCCTCCGACTGTAGCCTGAGTAAAGCTACCGAGCTGCGCTGGGCCGCTAGGCTGGCGCAGCATGACAGAAGGCTTAAGGTGCCCCGCAGTAAAGGGGAAAGAGGTAAGGAGAAACCGCTCGCTTTACCCTCCTTCGCCCGGCTCCTGCCTGGGTTTTTCTGCCGACCTTACCTCTTACATCTCCTTAGGGTGAGGCACGAAAACTTGCGGACTGGATGCTGTGAGGGGCGGCAGGAATGCCTTGGCGAACCTCACCTTGGCATCCATGATGCACGTCTCGAGATCTTTCGAGAGTTGGCAGTTTGTTCAGGAGCAGGCCTCAATTACACTAAATGTTTGCACAGAAGGTTCTACATCGCAACCTTGTTGCGCATGGCTACCTGATTCACGCGAGTAATTCTCGACCCATCCCGACAGCGCGCAACTGGCAAGGGTACCGAAACCCTGCATCTTCTGAAGCGCAAGTCCTCCAAACACCAAGCCCCAGCTCGAAACTGTCACCTGGATCGTGAACCCAACATCTGCAAGTCCAGGTTGCCATCTCGCTCTCTGAGATCTCTCCATTCTGTGCGAGGCGGCAGGCTCTCTCGCTTCTTGCATGGTGCACCGTCCGGTAAGGTTCAGGAAGAAGCGGCATTATGTCACAGGTCATGCAGTTTTCGAAGTTCATCAACAATCGTTTTCAGAACACTTTCCCATACACCAAGCTGGTGGACACTTCTCTATTCTAGTTCGTCAAACACTTGCAAGCAGAGGGAGCGTTCAAGCTCGAAGCAACCCAACCACTTGCATCCCAGAACGTCCGCCCGATTTGTGCATCTCCTCGTTCTTCAGGCCCGGTTGGCTGCTGTCCACCCAGCAAATTACCCCCATGCCTGGCCTGATCCGCATCCAGAGCTTTGAAGGCGGTCTCGGGAGTGACGGAGCCCATGCCCTGCGCGAACCTCGAGAGCTCCGTTTCGATTTGAGGCTCACGACACGACAGCGGCTCTGCATGCCGTTTTCTGCCCGCAGCTTCTCGACTGAAACTTCCAACAAAACCGCTGCAAACTTTCAGGTAAGCCCTCATCTGCAAGGGCCCCCGGCTGGGTAATGGTGAGCGGCGCCTGCGAAAGACCCAAGTCCTGCTGAAGTCTTCTTCACTGCTTCTCTGGCTTTTTTCAATCTGGGCCACGAGTACCAGAGCGCTGAAGTTTTGAAACCCAAGTTCAGCTGAAGGGTCTCAGTCAAGCACGTGGTGGTTTATTCGGCCTTACCTTCGACAGGTGAAACCCAGAAGGCTCTGCAGTTTGGGAGAGTCGGGTTCAGCCACTGCTTTTACAGCCTCGATTCTGTAGGGTCAAGTTCCACCACTGAAGCTGAGAACTTCTCCTGGCGGAAGTATCGGATCGACCCTCCAAGGGCCCTGGTGAACGAAGGCTCAAGCAGTGTAGGCCTCACCTCTGAAAGGGTCGAGCCATTTCACTCGGTGGCTTCGCTGTCGGACCCGACTTTGATGTCTTTGTTTTGCTCTCTGACAGACTTTCGCCCTGAAGCTGTTGAATCCTCATCACACATCGGGCTTGCCGGCAGAATCTTTCAAAGAGCCCCTTCAGTACCTGTCTCTGCTTGCCAGTCGTTGGCAATTTAACTCCTTATCGATCCAGATTCCAGATCCCACTAGCCGACTAGCCCTCTCGCCTTCAGGACCTCCCTCTTGCGCCCGTTGTCCGGCTTTGGGTGAGACTGGGCCTGGCCAGTTGAAGCATCGAACTGGACATGTCGAATCCGTTTTCTCAACAGGTGCTGCATCTGCTCTCTTGTTCGGGGTGCAGTGCTCTCGTGGGAATATCAGTATCACATCACCCCATGGTAAGGCCAATGGATGAGTCCCGGATTCACCAATTCCGCTGCGCGCACAAGACTTGTGCAGAAGCAGAAATCTCCCGGGCATGACAATATTTGAAGAGCCTCTGGTCGCGGCCCATGTGCTTGCACATAGTGCTTCTGGTTGAATGCCTCGACGAAGCCGGAGCAGAAGCTTTCAAGGTCAGAGTGGGCTTGGGTGCAGTCCTGTGCTGCACCTCGTCCCACATCCCGGGTGTCAGGTGCGATGTGGGGGAATTTGTAGTGGTCTCTATGACGGTCTGCTATTGTTCGACTTGACGTCTTGCATTCAACTACGCGTGCCTTGCATATCCACCCTGTTGAGACTAGCAGATGCATGTCTGAGCTTGGCTCCGAACCCCATCAGCACGGTCAGGGTGCATGTGCAGGCTTTGTTAGGTCAAAACTGAAAGCCTCCTGCAGTCATCCTTCCCCCTGTGCTTCCGAGCAGCATTGGCGAACTCCTGGCCTGTCACCATACCATCCTTCATCAGGCTTAAGACAAAAGAGACAACAGCTACCTGTAGGAATGACTACAATGCAGCCAGCACACCCGCATAAACTTCGTGTAGACCAGTCGGATGGAATTTGTTCTGAGACTCTTGCTGCCTCACTCGTGTCTGATCCTGAAAGAATACACCCTTACGGCACCCTGCTGCCAATAGAAATGCAAACGAGGAGCATGCAGTTCGCTAAGTGAAACATCAGGAACGTGAGCTAAAATTATGTACATCTGTGCGTCTGTCTGTTTGTGTACGCTCGGTGTATATACATAAACAAAAGTAGCACACGGCGCAGCATGAGGGCGCAGAGGTCCTTGTTCAGGTCCAAGCTTTGGAAGACGCCCTCCGCGGCTTCGCCCTTCACAGGTTGTGGCAGCTTCCCGAGGCCATCCATGAACCTTGGGACTTTTCTTTGTCATTCCTAGAACATTTCAATCCACACTGAGCTCTACATCCCCACTGCCTAGAAGAACCGCAGCAATAGAAGGTCTCTGACTGCGAGACACAAACAAATAAACATACGCAGACATATACACACATATATATATATATATATATATACATGTATATAAATATATATCTGCTTTGAATATATGGTTTACATACATATATATATATATATATACTTATACATACATGTCATGTGTATGTATAAGAAGATATATGCATACATCTATGTCTATGTACATATTTGACACACACACACACAAACAAATAAACACACACACACACACACACACACCCAGGCAGGCAAGCAGGCAGCCAGCCAGGCACGCACGCACGCAACGTGTCACAGGTCTCAAAGTCAGCTCAATGAAGTCAGCTCAGAGAATTCACACTCCAGGTTACAGATCTCAAGGCTCATTCCTAACTCAGTAAGCACTGTATGAAACGAAACTTCAATGATATGGACATGACTGTTGCAATCACTCGAAGGACTGCAAGACAGATGCACGCACTCACATGCTCAGCAACATGACAATGTGTGGTCACAAGCTGCACTAATATGCCCATGCCGACCACTGCAGGTACGTTTACCTGTCTCAAGTTCACGGAGCTTTGTTGGCAAAGGCCGTGACCTGAGACCCTCTGGGTTTGTGCGGAAATCTCCGAAACAGTAAAAGCTCTTTGGTACAGAGTTGCACACTTGCACGCACGCACACACACACACACACACCTACCTACCTACCTACCTACCTACCTACCTACCTACCTACCTACCTACCTGGGGCATTCTCGCCGCACTCCGAGGAGCTTCTGCCCTAGGAGCGATGCACGCGCCTCAGCCCTGGACTCGCCATGCGCTGCGATGCCGTCGCTGTCGCTATCGAAGCTGCGCAGCGCATGCTGTGGAGACCCCTTGCCTCCATCAACCCCGGGGAATACCAAAGCTCAGTGAGTGATGCATGCTGCACAGGACCTAGGCCTCGCAGTTTCCAGCTTGTAGTTTCAAAACGACCCTAGCATTCGAATCACAAGGCAATGTAGAACATGGCCTGCGTCACCCATGTGGCTGATCAGCTGCTCCATTGACACCTCGTCCTGCCGTTGCGCTGTGCGTACCTCTCTATGTGCTGGGTCTCCTGGATCTGCGCCTTGTCCTTCCCCGCCTCGTCCACCCATACTGCTACAACGACGACTCATTCCACCAGAAATCGTGAAAGCCGCAGTTGTAGTCCAGCTACACATGCTTATCCTAATGATGATGCTCAGTGCTCATCCGCATCACCACTGCATCAAACTTTATCCAGATCACTATTGCTGCCTCATCGTCGTCAGAAGCCTTATGGCATCGGAACCACGTGATTTTCTGTCTTCTGGCCACCTGTGCCTTTTGAGCTTCTCAGATGAAGAAGCCTTCTGCGCGTGCTGTCCGATTGGACTTGGCGCTGGGCTTAGCCTGATACAGTCCTAAATGCCTCCCTCCCTTGCTTCGCCAATGTCTTGTTCTTCTATCTGTTTTCCCTCTCGTATGGCTAGGATCGGTTTGCGGCTCCCTGCAAGCTTGTTGAACCTTGAGATTGTGTTTTTATCTTCAATCGTTTGTTGGCATTTCGGACATGGCACACCGTTTGGGGTTTCGGGTTTGTCACTCCCCCCGTGTCTGAAAAACTCGCTGCTGTGACTGCTTCAAAGTGTTTAGCTAAAGGATGTTAGGAGTTTACTGCTCTGCCTGGGGTGGTGTATTGTTTGCTCTTAATCGCTTCGTCAGTCTTTTTGTGTCCATTCATTCCTTGTCAGTTGCTTTTTCATGGGTTCTGTCGTCGCTTCCCTTTAGGGTTTCGACAACTCGTGCTGGGACACTCACGGTCTGCTGCAGTAGGGCACCGGGCCGGTCAGGACTGTGCAGTGGTGGTTTACTACTGGCCTCTTTCTGCTCAAGTTGGCTCGAGTCCGTCAAGAAGAACCTTCTAAGGTCTCGGAGACACAGGCGAGGAAAGGCTCCTTCCAAATGGCCTCAGGTGGCGTCTTCTCGATCCTGGCTTCCGGGCCTGAGCACCGAGCACCATACCTTCCTCCCAACATGGAGCCACTAGGAAACAAGGATCTGGCGGGAATTCAGGCTGTGAGTGAACTAAGAAGCCGGCGAGTCGGCCTGGGTTCCGGGTGGTGCTTGGCAGCTTCCCGCTCGGCCCTTTCTCTCTCTGCCTGCTGCAGTGCTCGCCCAGGTGTACCGGTTTCCGCATCGAAAGCACAAGACGGTCTCAAGGGTTCGAGCGAAATCGGGTTGACGTGGAGGATCCTGGCTTTTAACTCGTTCCGGGTCAACGGTCGTTCATCTAACTGCACTGCATTAGCGTGCCTGCATTTACATACGAAGCCGTGAACAAACTCAACACCGAACCGACACCAAATGCAGCGAATGCCCGCGGGCCTGCTCCCGCGCCGCCTGCTCCCGGGCTCGCGCTTCCTTTCCAGCAGACTTTTGCCCACACAAAAGGATGAAGCAGTGCGAAGCAGCAAGGAGAACACTTCGGGCCTCCTCTGCTTGTGCAGCAGCCCTCTGCCTCTCCTCGGCAGACGAAGGCTCGTCTGCCGGCGGCATCGTGGTCGTCGTAATTTCCCTGCGGCGCAGAAGGTTTGAAATGTCTAAGTTCTGGCACAGTTCTGAAGTCTGGATCCATATCTTCGCATCAGGGCGCAAGGATTTGGTGCGCGACTCGACTCTGACCACCCAGCATGGTCTGGTTGAGCCAGGAGACCAGTAGTAGAAGTCCGGCTCTGAAAGGCCTTTGTCCCACTCCTTGGAAGTCACTCAGCTCACAACACAAATGAATGAAATCATGTCAAGGTTTCTCGGTTTGTGACAAAAGCAGTTTGTGACCCCATTTTATACTTCTCCAGATTCTTCTGGCGCTGGGCATCTTTCGGCACTACCCTCGATAATGCTTCGGAGCACACGGCAAATTGGAAAGGAAGCCCGATCACCGAACTCATCATGCTAACGACTGCGAGGCTGCACGCAGCTGTCGACTCTGAACATCGTCATCACTTTGGTCATCATCCCATCTTCATAATCATCATCACCACCAACCACCATCACCATCATTATCAGTGGGTCGGGCTGTGAATCATCATGTCTGTTTTGGCAACGGTTTCTACAGCCTCCGCTCCGCCATTCTTCCTGAAACTCTCATCTCTGGCTCAGCACGTCGAAACGAAAAGAGAGCACATCCGAGAAAGCCAAAGTCTGAGACGAACGCAGTAAGTGCCCGAAGACTCCCCGTCCCGAAACACGAGCCCTCAAATAACAACGCTCCTAGGATTAGCCCGACAAAGCATAGAACTGTCTTTATGTCTGTATCTGTGTCTGAACATACGCACCTGTATGTGTATGTATGTCTGCGAGTAAATGTTGTGTTTCTGCACACGCATGTGTAAACACACACGCTTATACATATGTGTACATTCACACGCACACACACAAAAACATACGCACACACACATATATACATATACATATACATACATACATACATACATATATATATATATATATATATACATGCACACATACCTACACAGAAAGTAACACCCTATATGTATGTATATATATATATATATATGTATACACTTGCATATATATATATATACACATACACAAAAGCACATGTGACAAAACCACAAACAAAACTATGATATGTTACCGTGTAATATAAACTAAGAAAATATAACATAACACAACATATGGTAACATAGCAGAATATAACGTAATGAAACAACCTATACCATCCTGGAGATAAAGTGGCATAGTGTGAAACAGCTAGTTCACGTTATAGCTTACAGTATCCTGTTACGACAAGAAAACATGTGTTGGCATATGTAATTGAGGACATTGTTGGAAACTGAGATACCACAGGGTACAATATGATGACCTGTAATGCAGTATAAAGAAGATACCCTGACACAAAGTGGAACACTCAACAACAGAACATAACACAGTATTACAGAGTACGATACAAGCCAACTTCGTAGTTGAATATAACATGTCCAGGGTAACCGGGTAGTTGTATATATACACATATGTACATATATGTAGATGTGTGTGTATATATGTGTTTTCTGACATGTTTGTACGGCATAGAGAGACAGTGAATGTGATAGACAGAGGCTGCACACCTCTCAGGTCTGTACTTCTTGTTCACAGTCACGTGCCTGTGAATGCTTATGTCAAAATCAGCGACTCAATATGCCTGTACGCACACATGCCGACATAAGCACTATGTGCTATGTAGAGATACGTATGTACCGAGATGCACATAGAAGCACGTGCGAAAACATCTGCAGATGCATACGCACCCCTACATGCATACCACTTGGAGTACCTTTGTGCGTCCCCGGGCCTCGATAAGAAACCACCATCTAAGGCAGGTGGCTTCTGCAGTCAGCTTGTCGTCGAAATTCTCATCCAAACCCTTGAAAGTAAAAAGGACCTGCCGCAGCACAGCCTTTTTGCACAGCCATTTTCCCACAGGAGCATTGCGGCGATATGACGATTGAGAAATAGCTCCAAGATGCTCCAAGGTAAGGAGCCCACGAGGGAGCGCACAGGCTGTGCTACAATTTGGGATGTACATGCAGGTCTGCCATGCAACAATACCTGATGATGTGAGACCGTACTTTGCGGCAAAACCCTGACAGCCTGTTCCTCCTTGACGATGGGCTTCTTCAGGTCATTCAAGAACTTTCGGAACTCAGTCAAGTCCTCAGACCGGCGGTTGGTGCTAAGAGCTTGGACCCACTGCTCTGATTTGTTGTGGTCTCAGGTGAGAGATTTGAAAGACTGCCCTGTGTCGTTTCCGGGCAGATTCGCTAAGTGGCTCGTGTCATTGCAAGCTTTCTTTGTGTGGAAGCCAAGGATGTGCCGCCAAGATTCCACAACCAACGTGGCCGCACTTTTGGCAGTTTAACTTTGTTTTGCGATGGGCCGATTTACAGGGACCTAATCCCGAACTCCAAGCAACCCATCTCTGCCGAAAACTATCTGTCGAAACAGTTGAACCTCCCGCTTTTGCCAACCCCTGAACCGAAGGTATCCTCAGGCGGTGACTACGTGTCCATCCTCCGACGTATCCATGACGGTGTAGGCGCTGTTGACGTCCTGAAACGGTCAGTGCCACTGCTTGCTACCCTCACTGCGTTGTGCTATGAGAGCGAGATTCGGGAAGTAGGCCACGCATGAGCGACGCTGTGGTTGCAGCTTTTCCGTCAACTAAGACTGGGTTCAAGAGGCACTGCTTCTCAATATTATCTGTCCTACGTCCTCTGATATCAAGGCGAGACTCATGCGACCTTCTTCGGCTCGTGGATCAGTAGTCACATGCCCACAAGATCTCAACACCGTCCCAGACATCAACCTTGCCTTCCATTGGACAACTTCGGTTAAGTCGCTGCGCCACAGAAAGCCACCAAAAAGTCTTTTTCAGACCGCATACCCATGAAATGGACGCTGCGACGACACTGGGGCCCGGACATCAAACTGGTTGTCTGCAAACACGTGGAAGGCCTGACGGACAACCGCTCTGATCTTCCACTCTGAGCAATGGCAGGGGTAGCACCAAAAGCAGAAGACGTCGTGGTCGTCGCAGTCGTGTAGTGGCATTTGGTGGTAGTGTTGGCTGTGGTGGTGGTGGTGCTGGTGGCGGTGGCGGTGGTAGTAGTAGTAGTAGTAGTAGGTGGAGCAGCAGCAGTAGCAGTAGCTAGTCAACTGGATGGTACGGGTGCTTAAGATGTCCCTCATAGCAGCCCGTATATGCACACGTGCACAGACAACAGAATAGTGAGTGAGTAGCGAACGGTTTCAGTGACGGCGATCGCGGTGGTGGTGGTTGTGGTGGTGGTGTCGCTGTTGGCTGCAGCAGCTTCTGTGCAGTAGGATGGTGCTGACGGGGAGTAGTCGTCACTCACGGCTGTAAAGGTTCTGGCGGCGGCAGTACCAGTTGTAAAGAAAAAAATACTGGCAATGCTGGCCGTAGTCGTCGTCTTGACAAGAACGAGACTATGACGAACGTGGTGACCGATATCGATGG